ACCACCCTGGCATAGGGGGCCCTGGGAAAAGCCCTCCGTTGGATTGGAAAAAGCGGCCTACATTGATCCCTTTTGGAAAAGCCGTCCACCGTCCATGATCGGGTGGTTGGATAAAATGGATCGATTTTTGTCCAGTTTGACACCACTCCGCGCCCCGCTTCCCGCACACGTCGCATGCTGAACGCGCCAGTTACGGAAGCTGCAGCCGAAGGAGATGACCGCCCCCATGCACGCGATTTTGGAGCCCAAGGCACTGGGCGGGTGGTCTACTAGAAAACATAGCATCTGAAAATGGGTAGGTCTATTTGGACATAGGAATAGACTCAAATTCAATGGTGTAGGAAAATGAGTATGTTAGGTCATCTGAAAATTTCAAGACTCAAATTCAATGGTATGGGTCTATTTGGGTGACTACTGAGCTTAATAGGTAACAAGCAGTCAGAGTGAATGAAACATGTGGACCAGTCAAGGTGAATGAAACATTCATGTTGACCAAAACACGCAAACTTTTTTGTTCATCGTGTTCAGTAAGGACCTTTGCTAGGATGCCAGGGACTTGTTCTGTTATACACCCCTAAGTCAGTCAGAAGCACACACACTCACCTGTTGGCGGGGCAATGGTTTCGTCACCGCTGCCCTCCCCCAGCAGTCACTGGGGAAGATTACACCAGCTCACAGGGAGGATTTGTCAATTTCGACTGATCGGAGAGCGTTTCGGCGCCGGTTTTTGCACCGGATGGCATTTTTCGGAAGAATGCGACACCTTTGTGATCGTGATCAAGTAGATTCATGGCCATGTTTTTCTCAAATATGGGACAGTCCAACAAAATCTGTGCGCACGTTTGTCTTTGGTCTTGGAAATGATCCATCCCTACAAGTCCAGTCCTGGTCTTTGACGCATCCTTGAGTAGTGTTTTTGTATGATCAAGTCCAGCAAAGTGAGGTCCAACTGACCTGTAGCAGCAGTTCGGAAAGGGCGATCCATGGCTTAATGGAGGTTAGGGGTGCCCCTGTCACATCCTCACTGGATGGGACGAGCCGCACCACCCCGAGCTGTGTGACGCCCTCGTCTTGAAGCTGAACGCCTCAGGTGGACCTTCCCGGGGACTACGCCCAGCAGAGGATCAACTCGGCACTGGTGCCCGTCCACGTGGCCTGTTTGGATTTCGTCACCGGGAGGGACGTCGTTTTGTGGGTGAAGTTGTGTGTTGAACTATACAGCAGTCTGAGTGGAACGATGGTGTTCCGAGTGCTCAAGTGTACGAGGTTTCTTAAGTTTGGCAAAGGATGCCAATTGAATAGAACGGCCCTCCCAGTCATCGACCGTGGCCGACTCCGTGGGAAAAGGGAAACGCGTCTTCCAACCAGCCAGGTCATCCATGGCCATCCACTTCCAGGATTTGTTGGATTGAGGGTAGGTCACCTTCCCCAGTGCCATCCATGGGACTGGAAGATTTACCTACATTGACCCTCAAAACATCTTTAAATCATCCCAATGTAGCGGATAATGTAGGGAAATATTCCATATACAGAGAAGCAAACTCTTGACGTTTAAGTTTACTAGAACAACGTCGAGCACCTCTAGCATCGTTAAATTGAGGTTCGAGAACCATCAATGTCGGAGGTCTTGTTCAACCACTGTCGTGCATCCAGTCCCTACTCAGAACCACTTCGATTCAACTCACTTCTGAGTGGAGTGCCCACTTCTGTGCAGTAGTTGCGCAGTTGTGTTTACTCACTTCTTGGGCTTTTTCGGTCTCTCCACTGCCCTCCACGTCGGTCCTCTTCGCTTCCTGGCTCCATGCGCTTCCAACCTTTGCGGTGCCAACAGCGGAACCAGCGCCGCATCGACCGTCCCCGAGGACGGTCCGATCGGGCGAGCCGCCGAGCTCGGTTGGGAGGTCGAATTGAGGGGTAACAATGAATGAAGATCGTATACATATACAATAATTATATATATATATATATACAGTATAAGAGTCTCCTACCATGTGATCCATGAAATTCGTCGGGATGGAACTCTTTTGGCCGGACACCTTTGGGGGGGTCCTTGAGTCCGTACCTGGAGTAGAGATCCAGCAGGTCCATTTTGTTTTGAGTAGATGGATGTGGCCACAAGAAAAGGAGACCTTTGATTTTTTGGATGGGTACTGTATTTGAAGGTTGGCTGGTCTCATCATGTGTTTCACTTTGCCATTTTGGGGGTGAGACTCGGTGATTTGCCTCCATGCTTGAGCTTTTTGGGGGGGGAGATTCCCTGGCCCCATGGGTAGACTGGTCTAATTCCCTTCTTCAAGGGGGTCGAACTGGGAGGTCTCCTATATTTAATATACACATTCAAAAACCATAAAAGAAGCACTTCGGGGAGCCTAAACGATGGTAGCTTGACCTGCTTAGTAGCTTGTTCTGTTCGTTTCAACCCCCGGTTTTGACCCACAGCCCATATAATCAGTTATCACTTTTGAACTTGGATTTGGATGTCTCAGGACCAGCACCAGACATTCCAGAGGACCAGCGCTAGCCTCAGACGTTTTCCCGCAGTGTGACGAGGAAGGAATCGATTCCTTCCAGTTTCAAAATAGAATATCCAAACCCTGTTCGGTGTTGTGTCATTTTGGGTTCCAGTGGAAGGCAGCTTCAAGAAGAGCGGATCAACACGTTTTCCTGTATTGAAGGAATTGAAGGGTTGTGTTTTCTGGATAATTTTGTCACCAGTGTGCAGACTCAGCGGCAGTTTCTGTGAGTTGCAAAAGGAAAGCACTGCTATAGGTACCAGCTGCGGTCGAGAGGCAAGAAAGTCCCATGTCCATCGCTGAGTGACTCTCATACCCCAGACACAGCCTGCCAATGCCTGCCATATATATATATATACCTATACATTAGGTGGTTGACACACCGTCAATGTAGGCCTATACCATGGCCCACTAAGGAGTGGTTGATGGACACCCCACTTATCCTCTAAGGGGCTTCGTGGGGCTAGACGCCTCTTAGGGTGCTTGTGGTGCCCTGGTATCATGTTTTCTCGGTTCTATGAAGTCTTTGCGTCCAGTCCCTTAAGCAGGGCCCTCCCCTCCTTCGCTCCATCCGGTTTCGAAGCCGAGGAATGGGGATGAAATACGTGGCCGCATACCTGATGGCGGTGAGGATCTCAGGTCGTTCCACCAACTGTGGCGGCACCCGAGATCCCGGTCGGTGACGACGGTGCTTTTGGTGGAACGAACGAGAGCGCGGAACATGTGAGTGGTCTCGTGTGAGCTTGGTGCATTCCACTCACTGACTGGTCTAAAGCCACCTATTGAGCCCACTCACTAAGCCATGAGTAGCTCTGAAGCATCTGAATCTTTGGCGCCCTGAAGCATCTGAAGCATCAAGGCCCTGGCGGGCAAAGAGAGCCCCAGTGCGGACGACATCAAGGCTGGCACGTGGAGAACCAACATGTCCGTCGAACGGGACCACGAGAACGGCTGTTCGTGAACTGGTTCTAAATGGAGGTCCGTTGGACCTCAATTTTACTGGAGTTGATTCAACAAAATCCCAAAACTACTCAATAATGAGGTTTTCAAGACTATAGCTTTTTGGACCTGGATCGGACCTGTAGCGCCCATAGGGTATGGTTGTCCCGGGTTGTACCCCACTGGCCTGCAACTTGTTTCCTCTATCGTTGATCATCCGTCCCAAATACGTAAAAGCTCCCTGGTCACCTTTTCTAGGGACTATTGTGGACTCTTGCAGCGATAAAAACTCCTTGGCAATTCGCTGCGATTGTGCTGACCATTCCAACCATTCCCTTTCAATTCATATTGAATCGATTGAATTGTATTGGTGGAGAAGTGGGTGGTTTGGGATAATTGAGGATACAACTTATTTGACGCCATTTCCAAATCCACAATAGTATTACCTCACCCGCAGCCCACAATTTTTGGGGCTTTATGCAAATAATGCAGAAATTCTTGAAAGTCGACATCCTAAAATAGAGAAACCTGGAATCGTTTCGACTGGAGAAGTCCTGCACCTCCATCGGACAGACATGTTTGATCACTTGAGGGTTGGGTTTCATGTGGTGCCGCTGTTTTTTCTTCCTTCAACAATCGACCATCTTTGGGTCTGTCCCATCGTTTGTACGAGTCGGTAAACAATGATGACTAGTTTAGAGAAAGGGAATGGAATTGACTCACTATTTTGTCCATATATATGTCATTTTGGATCTTGGCTTTCAACTGAAGAGGAGGTGAACGTAGTCTTTCACACGGTCGAATTGTTTGGTTCCAGACAGAGAAAAGGTCGTTTTCAGGGCCTCGCCGATGTCCTCACTGATCCATACTGATCCCCAACACTTCCTTTGAAGACGCTTTGCTCCATGTGTCCAACGACCTAGAGCCTTGCTCCAGCGCGATTGGGCCAGGCGATCTTGGACTCGGTGGAATCCGAGTATGTTTGGAGCTCGGAAGATGGGAACCTTTGATGTACGGTGTATACACTAGGGATCCAACATTGATGTGGTTGGAACATGTTGGAGCCGTACAGGGATAGGTTATTTATGGGTCCACCATCTACCTATTTTGTGGAGGATGCGTTATGAATGGTTATAAATGGCTGTTGCTTGGAGGGATGCAGAAATGCAGCACTTGGCTCGAGCCTGGCGCTTAACTGATCAGCTGAGACATTGCGCGATTGGAATACGGAACCTACCAAGACTCTTGATGGGAGCACTCCTGCCAAATCCCAATGAACCATGGCTAACAATCCATACAATTCGTTTGAAATGAGCCACGTCTTGCCAGACAAGAACATTTGATCACAGGTTTGTGCATAGAACGCAAATACCTCCACTTCTCCTAATCTTCACGGCATAGAATCACAGGAAATTCCCCCTGTGAGTTTTCCCATCAGCCACAAGGATTCAGCTCGATTGCATTTTTGGGATGACCCTGGCAGATGTGTGAACAACATGCAATCGACAGCCAGTAAGAGTTCTTTTTCGACGAAAAATAGAGACCCCCATGACTTCGGATTACACCCACCTCACCGGAATCCACGCGGAATCGGGAGAGCGAGTCTCCATGGCACGAGGTGAGGAAACAAGCTTGGGAAAGTGCCGGGGGGAAGGGAGGAGTAAGCAAGGATTCGGAGACGGATCTCCCAGTCGCAGAGACAGATCAGCACTTCAAATGTAAAGACCGATTGTTCAATGCGTATTGATTTGTGCAGCGTTGTACTTCTAAAGCATGACAAGTCTGAAGTTTGACATGGCCAGCTACGGAGAGACACTTGACGTTTTAGCACGTGCAGATGCATTCCTGTATCCACCCCATGTTGGATTTCTGAACCCCAGCCGCCCATCCTCCTTCACTGCAACTTGAGGATTGCAGGTCTTCTCGGACCAGCTACCCGAGGAGGAGGAGTGGCATGCGCAGTCGCCATCCATTTCCAGGCGAGAACACTGTGAACAGAGTGGGAGAGAGGAGTGCTACATGCGCACGAGTTCGGCAGAATATAGGGAGGGCTCCAAAGTGGTGATTGCGGATTCTGGACAAGTGGTGATTGCTCCATCTTCGGCACAATAGGGAGGGCTGCATCCACAATAGGGAGATTCTAGTTCGATCTCCTCAAGTGGTCAGACTTGGTGATTGCGCCTCTTAGAGTTGCAAGGTATGATGCTTTGTGAAAGTAGCTGATTCTCTTACATTTGGTCAGACCCGACCAAATAGCCCAACAGCACGGTTGCGAAAACGGCTCACTGTGGTGGTGCAGGAGGTACATCTCTCACAGAGGACCTACAGTACTTCCAAGCACAGCAACCCATGTACTACTTTACAAGCACGGAGTTTGCATGTGGCCGAGGCCCATCAGCCTTCATGCTGTGCCAACCCATCCAACTGCTGCATGGCTGTTTTGTGTTTGACCGTCGGTGTGTTGGAGAGCAAGGCTAAGGAATCACCATCGTCACATCGGGGCTTTCGACTTCGGTCTCATTTGTTGCCGCATCAACATCCGCATGTTGCCATGTGATGCCATTGCCAAGTGGGAGTGTATTTAAAATTGGTGTTTTGGTCTATTTCCTTCTTCCAGGGGTCGAACAGGGGTCGGTCTCCCTTTTCGATACACAGCCCATGTCAAATCCCAGATTCAGTATAGATCCTGTATGATCCGAGATGCTTTTTTCACCCAATGCGGGATCTTTTCCAGATGGGGTCTCCGGTGATCAGCATAGCAGCATAGCAACAAATACCCGGTTCAGAAACCTGTACAACTCTATGAGCAATAAGCTTTCAGTATTATTTACTGGTTTCTCTCTGAAACACTGCCACATGACAGGGGCCCTCTGTGCAATCAATTATCCGCGCAATCCCAAACTGAAACGATCCCTGAGGATCTCAACCTCCTTGGCCAGCCACTGGCACTGCCCTCAGCCGCTGCGAAGTGGTGCGAAGCGGTTCATGTGAAGAAACGATCAGAAAGTGGCCTACTCATTGAAAGTGGGATGGCCAAATTAAAAGAGCCGATGCGTCCAATGGCATCCGTGGATGCAGCTTCTTGGATTCTCCCACCTCGTGGTGCGACGACCGATGCGGTGCTCAGGGGATGTGCAGAAGCTTCTTGGATTGGATGGGGCAGCGCCACCGGGTATGGCAATGACCTGCAGGAGCTTAGATCGGACGCACGGATAGACTGTACTAGTACTGATTGTTATTTCATAAACCACTCCAATGTGGGATATGTAATGGATATGTGGGTAAATGCCACTCCTCAGTGACAGTCCGGAGTGTTGAGAGATAGTATGACCTCTGGTGATGCACCGGTATCGGGATGAAACACACGGCGATTGACTCAAGCAGAAGGGACCAGAAAGTTTCTTCGAGTTGTGTGCCTCTTTCAGTGACCAAATGTTACCTGGAAGTTCTACAAGTGACCTGATGAGCTGTGAGCTGGCCAATGTCTCTTGACTGAACACTGTTGACACGAGGTATGCCGAGGCGAGCCTCAGTGTTGTTACGAACTCCGAAGCGTTTCGACCAAAAAGACCAGCTTCACCACTTTCACAAAGTGCTGAGCAGTGCTGTCGACCTGTCAGTGCTGTCGTCAGTGCTGTCCGTGTTCCTGCTGTTGTCGACCCTAAACGAAGGTCCACGCGATCTTCGTTTGGGTCCACAAATGGGGATGGTTCAAAACCTGGAGCCTGGAGCCCCCAAAAGCATGTAAGTCGCCCTTCCGGGACGCGGTCTCCTGGTGACCCACAGCGAGGTCAGCTGGACAGTCCCATGGGCTGGGATGGCAGTGGATTCTGCAGCTACAGCATGAGAGATGTGCATCAACAGGACGGGACCCGGCTGGGAGACCTCTTGACCCCGGGAAATGACGGGGAAATGACCGAGACATTTTGGAAGCCAAAGGGTTTGGTGGGTGGCGGTTGACGTGATGCTTGTGGAAAAAACAGATCCTGCAGGGCTCCAAGTATCTAGTGTCTACCATGGCGTACATACTGAGAAAATCTGAGAAGTTACTTGGGTCGTTCGCTACCTTTGGACAATGAGCCGCTACTAGTAGCTTCTTGCTACTACTAGCGTCCTTGTTACTAGTAAGGCACTTGTTACTAGAAGCGATGCACTTGTTCCTAGTGCAGTTCGAAGAACACACCTTTCCACCTGGCCATTCGCAGCGCTGGCAGGGCGTTTGTGTGATGCTCAGCGCCTTGACTCCGGCGATCCGCGCGCCATTTCCGCCGCGTGAACGGTGATCCTCATCCTACACTGTTGGCTACTATTTGAAATAGGTTTCTGAACAGTTGATCCAGTATGATTATACAATTCTGGACCTGGTCCACCAACAACATGAGACATGATGTGGCTTGAGACATATGACATTGAATTTTGGAGGCTTCTTTTTGGGTGTAGAGTGAACATAGATGAATGCAAGACTTCACCCCATGGGTGTTTGACTGATCTCTTCACTCTCAAGCTTTGGCTCTCAGCTGGTCACAGATTCCTTTTGGAAACATGGCTTCTCAATATGGTATGTAGAAAGTAACTATAGATCCAACGGCTAACCACCTAGAAATCATCAGACGTGCGCAAGACGACATGGACTTCCAGTGGCAGTGGTTTCTCGAAGAACATGCTGTCCTAAGAAATCCTTTCTGGATCTTTTTGGTTTAGTCCCATTTGGGGCCGGGATTGGGAGGGTTTGTCCAAGCCTTTTGAGCCTTGTTGATACCAAGTGTTTGCCGCTTTGGCCACTCCATTCGCTGCTTTTCGTTTTTTTCTACAGATCAAGAGGTCCGAGGTGTGAGGTTCCATCAGTGGCTTCGTCATCGGCTTCGCTGGAACCGAAACACTCGGAGGTTCAAATGAGGATCACTTCGATCTGATAAAAGCCAACCAGTTTGGGCCACCCAGAAGCTCCAAGACGGGTTCAATTACATGTACCTGGACCCTCAAAGTACCATCGAAAATGGAACATTGTCGGACATGACATGAATGACCCCATAAAAAATAACAACTACTTGATGGTACTTGTACTCATCTTCCCAGATACCAACTGAGACTCCAGGTAAATAGGGATCGAATCAGTGTGTCGATGTTGGCCACCTCAGGCCCAACCTTTCGGGAAATGGCCAAATTCGAGGATGGCCTCGACATCGTGTGACCCTCAAGCTGCGGTGTCCGAAGGGGAATGAGCGGGAATGAGCGAAACCTCGAGTCCCAAGTTGAAGCTTTTTTTCGGGATCACCAAGCGTGTCAAAGAGTATTAATCAGGTGTTTTAGAATATCAGCCTGATAGTTGAACCGAATCGCGCAGAACACTGTGGTGGTTCAAGGAACCTCGGCTTCTCAGCTTGTGCATCTTTCATGAAAAAAGCATGTTCCTCCTCTTTTCGAAGTCGTGCTTTCTTTGTCCCTACAAAGATCACGGTCGGGACTCCTGGGCCGAGGCCGGTGTGTCCGGCTACACCGAAGGACGAGCAGCGCGGCACTGGTGCTTGCCCGTGGGGAGCCTTGGGAAGGATCCACGGTTCTACTTCTGGATTTGGGGGGCCCGAACCTTTGTGCACGTCACTTCAAGTGCTTGAACCCAGTCGGTCACTTTTTGGCTTCCAAGCCTTGGTTGATGTGTGCAAGGTCAAGCATTTTAGTTCACCACTCAGTTCGGTTGGGCCGCGAACGTTCAATGCCTTTAGAGACAGAAACACGACCAGGTCGAGGAAACGCATCGTTCTTCGTGCAGAAAATTGCGCCTTATGGCGGCCAGGCAAGGTGTGGCAGGAAGATGTACCCAGCGGGTTGGTTGATTTCAGGGGTCAATGTAGGCAGGAATTATTTGATAGCTGATAGCTGGAGTAGGTTTCGTTTTCAGGGAATGGTTCTCCTGCACCAAGTGCAATACACAGAGAGGAGGGCAACATGGGCAATGTGCATGTGGACAGTTTGCCGTTGGCAAGTTTATATTGGAAGATATTAGAAGCTCCTGCAGTCTGCTGGGTTCCCTGTCAGAACTCCTAGCAGATAGCCCGCAATCCTCCAGATCTGATACACTTCTAGTGGTGATTCTGTTTCTTCACTTCTGAGTTCCCCCCTCATGCTGGTTCGCCTGAAGTCCTTAGTCAGTCCTTCCCAGGTTTGGGCCTTTGCGGCAGCCGTGGAACGAGATCCCAAAGGCATGGAGGACTTGGGCTTGGACTGCCTCAATACCAACAGCTCCTCGGCCAGCCGGACGGGGCTGGATGTGGCTGGTTTCATTTGCAAAGACACGAAGCTCGGGATGAAAGAGGGGTGGACATGTCCAGACCACGATTCCACAACAAAGAGATCATGATGGGGGGGGGGATATGGGCCATATGAGATATAAACGGATATGGGCCATATGAGATCTAAACATGTTAGTATCATGTTGTTCAGAACAACTAGCTGGCAAGCGCCTCCAACATCTCTAATGCTTTACCAATGCCTCGCGGTGTTCGTCACTCAGCGATGACGTGAAGAGGAAAAATTACCAGACGTGAAGAAAGTCATGACACATATCAAGGATATGTGGAATGAGGGGAATAAGGGGGAGATGATTTTTAAACATGGGTGTGTGGTTTAGATCCGGGAACCCCCTGGCCCAATGGGTTTGGGTCTATTTTCCCTCGTCCAGGGGGTCAAACTGGGAGGTCTCCCAATTTCAATACCAACTAGTACTGATATCACTCATCACTGTGGGTCAAACTGTCTAAGGTCTCTTTTCTTTTGCCATCAGGTCAAGTCACCCCCTTTCAGTAGGCGAAAATGTTGTCTTGGTAGACTAGCAGCTGATTTCATTGCCACTGAGCCGATAAATAAAGCCCTTCAAGAATTTCACTCTATCCATTTCTAGGCCGTGCAAGGCAAGCAAAACACACTGAACATCCTTGCTAAGGCAAGGTGAGAGATATCCTCAGGCCAGGTCGGTTTCGGGCGAAACCAGCGATTTCACCAAAGAGAGTGGGATCAACTGATGATCTCAGGGTCCAAACATGTGATGATTCAACTGGTGTCGTGTTGTTTATGTGTTTCTATGTTGGTGCACCCCAGAGCCTTTTTCTTATCCAAGCGTCCACTTTTGTTTGATCACCGCTTACCCAGCAAATAGTCCAAAGCACAAAACACACATCCAGGAGTCACCTTGAAAGTTAGCGAAAACTGATCCCATTGGTTGGGGGTCATACTGAAAGGTCCGGACATCCTTCGTTTGTGTGGCTCTTGCCAGGTGGAACTCCTAAGATTGTCAGGAGTACTATGGTGGTTTACCCTAGATTTATCCCAGCATGATGGGATATGAGGATTGGGCACACTATGCGTCAGATATATCCTAGATGCTCCACACATGGGGGTGCGTTTGGTAGTAAAGAGAACGTATATGTTTACCTACGTGGAACATTTGGGTGTATGGTGTATGTATGTCCAAGTCCAATCGATTTGCAGACACTTTGCGGCTTGTCCACTTTCTTGTTGCCGCAGAAGTTTCGTCCGATCTGCTGGAATGAAGCTTTTTCATCGAACAGCCCTGGACTTTGCCTCAACATGAGGGAACCCCAAAGGTGCTCGGGTGTTTCCTCACCCGTCACCTGCCACTGCACAATTGATTCCTTTTCTTCCTGGATCTTCCAAACGACCAAACAAATCTGGTAGTTTTGGTCATTGACCCAGTATGACGCAGTTAATTAGTGCAAAATGCATCAAAATGCATGCAAAAAGCCCTCAAAAAAAAACAAACATCCGCAAAACAAACCAAACGACACAACTAACCATAAAACGCAGTCGATTGTTCTCCCAGTTCGGAAAGTCCAGGTTGTCGATCAAACTCTCTGAGAGGACCCGAAGAACGAGTTCTGGGGAGTTGTTCTTTGCTGGAAACTGGTGCCTGCAGATCTGGAGGTCCCCACCACATGGAGCCATCGATGGTGGTCAGCCGCCATTGCCAGGCAAAACGTCATCCTGCAGGGCCCCAGCAAGAGTTACTTCACGAAGCCCGCCGCAGAGATCTTGGAAGTCACTTGGCGCTCTGAGTGAGTTTTGTTGCATCCACGAAGGAAAAGCGTGACCTGCTTCGGACCCGTTCATTGTTCCATGTTTTTTGAGGGCGCCAGGCGAACACCACTTGCTATACCTTGCAAGGGGGTCTTCACGTCCACAACCATGACAAGTGACGTGATGCATCACAAGTGTGTGTGTGTGTGTGTCATACGTTCGACAATGAGCAAGTGTGTGTTGTGTTCATTTGAACCAGATGTTTTGCGTGTGAAGCCCCCCCGGTGCTTCTGTCGTTTTGAGGACCGATGCACGCCTGCCTGGAGCCTCAGTGATTCCCAGGAAGGGGCAAACATGGAGGTTCATGGTTCATGGAGTGCGGCACCTCTTAGAGTCTTAGATTGTGACTTGACCCCCCAAAAAACAAAGTACTTCACTTCGAGTGATTCCCACCATGACATTTCAATCAAACATTTTTGTTCGGCATGTATTGACATTCTATCTGGCATTCTTTCTGGCATATCTTCTGACATTGTTCTGACGGTCTTTCTGGCATATCTTCTGACATTCTATCTGGCATATCTTCTGTCATTCTTCGTGGCGTTCTATCTGGAATATCTTCCAACTGGCGGTTGAGGTCCAGCGGGGAACACTGCCGTCCGGAACTGGCGGTTGAGGTCCGGCGGGAAACACTGCCGTCCGGAGCTGGTGGTTGAGGCTTTTGTGGCATTCGCTCTGGCATATCTTCTGACATTCTTTGTGACTCACATTGTTTCTGACATTCTGTCTGGCATATCTTCTGACACTTTGTCTCACATTTGTACTGGCATACCTTTTGACAGTCTTTCTGACATTCTTGCTGCGCTTGCTTTGCAGCAACCCACCCATCCATCTGACTTCAAGGTGTCTCGCTGCGGGTGTGCCCCACAAGTCTGGCACAAAGGGCTTGTGCCTTTTGGAGCCTAAGTGGCCTAAGTGACTCTAGAATGTGTTGTACCCTGAACCCTTCACAGACCATCTTTTAGTAACGTAGCTTGGGCTTCATCCCTTCACATCCGATCTCTAAGTCCTTCAGGAGGGCATTCGATTGCATGCACAGCGGAAGCACGAGCGGGAGAAGTGGCGACTCGGTCGAAACAGTGGATAAAACATGCGTCAGACGGGTGTGCGTGCTTTAGCTACTATTCCGAAGGAAGAAGTGCAGAAAACTATCCAAGAATGGGGATTGTCACTGATCCCACTATTTAGAGCGTGTTGGGTATTCCAGGTGCAGGATGATTTCCTTCAACTGAGAAGCATTCATTGAAGTAGTGAAATTTTTGGGATTCAACTGCCTCCAAAAGTTTGGTTTTGGACAAGAAGCCGTCCGAAGACCAGCGCGGTGCTTTTTTGGGCCCCGCCCCTGCCACTGGCCAGGGATTTGCATACCCAAAGGCAGTCAGCTGTTGACGCCTCATTGCAAGTGGGTCAAAGTTTGTGCAACTCTTTGGCACAGGAAGGACCGTCACTCGCCTTATGGACATTTATGTATTGTGAAGGTGGAAACCCTGGTGAACCGCCAATCTTTATAGAAGACTCTCCACATGAACCATTGAGACCATGTTTTTTTTTTTTTTCGCAGTTCTTCCTTCGTTCAATCGATTTACAAAACCCGCCCGTTCATCGAACAATCGGCTAGGCCTGGCCGTGGATGGGATGGGAAAATGGCCCCCGAAAAATCGGATCGACCCTGAAGTCCTTCCTGCGAGACCAAAACAGCTGGTGAACTCCACGAACCGGTGTCCGTGTTCCAACCAATGGCCTTTCAACATTGGTTGGTTGGTAAATAGAAGGGATACCCCCAAGCGTACAACCAATGGGTATATGGTACCAAACCGATCCCTCTATTATTCCCAAAAGGACATCATTGGTCCGTGCTCCCAAGAGTGTATACCTCAACAAACCCCACTGACCTGTGTTTCCCAACCGTTCGCAAGCCGTTGCGCGGGGCCCGGCTGGGTGAACATCCGTCGAACCGGGGGGGCGTTCAGGCTTCCGCAAGAGCAAGCTTGTGGCTCGGCCGCGAGGGGTGGATGGGACCCAGACACACTCCATCCGTTTTTGGCTGGAAGAACCAATGCCACCCCAAACTGGTCACCTGAAATCAACCACCCCAACTGATCGGCAACGATGGCAGTCCCAGGCAGGTCGTGTTTGGGGGATGACATCATTGAATGAGTCGAGTTGCTGTTGCTGGTTCATTTTTGACCCAAGCTAGTGGTGTCCCGACGGTGGGACTTGACGGTTTGTTGGAAGGTGATGGAGGACCATTTCTCTCTCTCTATATATATATATATAATTGAAGTGTTTCACAATGTTCTATACCAGCACCTTCAAGGGCTGTCACCTGGCTGGAAGCCCCAGCCCACTACCTAGGGACCCTCCATTGGACACCTGTTTGAAGGTCCAGGTATGTGGAAGTGGATCAAACTGGCCATGCATAGTGCTCCCTCTGCTGAGGTGTCAACAAGAAGTACAAGATCTCGCAGCAGGACATCGTTGGCTGGTGGGATGAGAACGAGCACAAGTGCTACGATGCTCAGCTGTGATCGTGTCAAGAGGTCCAAATACACCAGGTTAGAATCAACTGGAATCGCTTGAACGATGTGTGTTTCCTCATAACTTGTGTTCAAAAGCCCAACAGCCTTGGCAAGTTGAGCTGGACAACTCAAGCACAGTGATGTCTGCCCTTCCCAAAATGAACACCTTTTCAAGGTACTGTATGTCTTCCCGCACAAGGCCGGGGTATACGATCTTCATGGGCGCAAAGTTGTGTCTCTTCTAGACCTTGATGACCATCCATTTCCTGGTGTTTCTAAGCAAGGTTTAGCAACGTGATGAACAGCTGCAACGTCCAACTGGGCAGAAACTGAAGGCCCGGGACTGCTGGCCATGCCGAAAAAGGACCCAGAAGGCAGAAGGCCATAGAAATCCAGCATGGCCATAGACTAATTAGAGGTCTTCAGGACTGCTGGCCACGGTGACAAACGATCTCTATAGCATGGCATTCCTATGAGGTCAGGAAACCCAAGCCACCCGACTGTCGTGACCGTCCCGCGCTCGGCGGCCAACATCGCCGCGGAAATTTCCTCGCCACTGAGGAAGGCTTCTACGACCAGAATGGCATTTGGGTGTGGCTCTTGGAGAGGGGATGTGGAGGTGTGCCACAATGTGCCACATCCTAGTTGTTTAAAGTTTTGTTGGTATCGCTGGTTCAGCTTACAGCTTTTTGGGACTTTTTTTTCTCACGGAGCATGAACAGTTGCAATGGAGGTTGTTACCTTTGTTCCAGGGGATGGAGGAAGTCAGGTATGGCCTCACGAGAGCTCAAAACACAAGCTCTAGATGGGCGTTTCCACAATGTGGGCGTTTCCACAATTGTGTTTGGCTGAGTCGCAACCCTCTTATACCCTCCAGATACTGGTGGTTCTTTAAAACATGTTGTGTTTGTCCCCTGACTTGCAGTGGTGGCATCACGAGAAGAGCTGTGTCATGCGTTCGAAGGGCGCGGGCAGAATCCATTCTGCCTCACAAGTTCTTGACAGGGGACATGATGAGGTTGGCCACTTGGCCTTCCAGTGATCCTGGTTGAAGATGGTTGAAGAACCAATCTGGTTCCTGTGCATTGGGGAAGTGGAAGAAAATAAAGGTGTCTTCGGATTTCATGCAAACCTTCCTAGAGAGACACACGAGGTTAGAGTTGCCGTATATAATTACCGAAGAAGCATAGGTTGTTACACTTTTAATGATTTAGTTTTACAACTTTGATAGTTCATCAACTCGTCAGCAGAACTGTCTCACGTGCGGATGTGTTACCATCCAGATAGCTTTGAGTTTCCACAGTTCAACACAGCGGCTGATTCGCAGTCGTCGCCGATGCAACCCGACCCAAACGACCCCACTGTCGGCTTGGCCGCGGGTTTTGCTGCCAGAATCCCTACTACACAGCGGGAGGCCTGGATCATTGGAGGAGGAGCCGGCGGGGTGAGAGACCAGATGCTGAGAGAAAGCCATGGATGGCTGGTGTCCCACAGTGGAGGAACAGGATCCATGTCAATACTTCAGGCTCCAGCTATAGCGCTGCCTTGTGTTTGTGTTCAGATCTTCATCGATTGGTGAGTGATCGTTCAGCTGAACTTAGAGTGCACTAGTGGCTCTCTCAAGAGATGGAATCGTGGGATACCGTGCCTCAGAAAAGGTAGCAGCAGGTATTTCTTCCAGCTAGCATATTGGATTATATATGATTCTATTCAATCTTGCTTTCCAGGCTTTGCAGTTTCCTTCTACCTGGGGATCACACTGATGTTCCGTGCCGGAAGCAGAAAGGGAACATCCCCACTCCGCCAGGCTACGGGAAGTACTGTGCTGTGATGTAGTGACACTCGCAGTGCGGCGGCCTCGCGGTTCGAGGGTTGCCACAAGATGTGCGGCGATCGTCCTTCAGCTGAAAAAGAAGCAATCGACATAGACTCACTCTATAGCATGGGACAACAAAAAAAATAACATTCAAAAAAAGCCGGACCCGAAAGGAAGACGACTGTCCTTGACCAAAACACGGGGGGGGGTTCATGTTTTTTTCCCTCCATGTCCAGGGTTCAGTCGGAGAGGCTCCATGAACACCTCGGACTCCCGCGTGGCTCTTCACGGGTGACCGAAGAACGGCCCTGCCGACCCTTCTCCGCTCCAAAGATCGAGTGGAGCGTTGAGCCGTCTGAGCAAAGAGCGGGTGGAGCAGGTGCTGGAGCAGGTGGAGTTGGAACCGTGGGTGATGCATGATGGGTGGAACATGGGAGTGGGAACAAGAACACCTGCAATGTTCCAAAGAAGCGTGATGCACCCAGTGTGTCCAGGTAAGCCTTTCCACAAGCTATATTCATCTACATCAAGGGGGGTTGCAAGTGCAGGAGTTGAAGTTTATCCTGATGGAGGGTAACTGACTGCTTCATGCTGGGCCTGGCGAGCGACCAGTTTACGCGCCAAGACTGCGTAAACGAACAGCAGGCAGAAGAAATCATGTCAATGAACTTCCAGGTTGAACATACCATTGATGTCCTCTCGAGAAACAACCAGATGGCACAGGTGCTGATAGCACGGCCGGATGCCTCGCCGTTCCGCACGCAGCTATCGCGACTCCGCCAGCGCCGCGGGGTGTTTCACCCCTGCACCGAACGCCTGAGGATGAGAGCATCGCCAGCAAACTCGTCTCCGAGCCGCTCGGACGTGGATAGTCATGCGAGGTCTAGAAGATGTGCTCATCCAAGGGTTTGACCTCCATGGGGTTTTCACCTCCAAAGGGCCTTTTCTGTGAGAATCCATGACAGGTGTAGTGCTCATCCGAAGAGGGCCATGAAATCTGACATCCCGTGACCAATTACCGCCGTAGGTGAGGAAACCGTTCGACGTCCATATTTGTTGCAGGTTGCTAGCTGGCCAGAATGTAAAGCAATTTCTTTGCCGGGCCTTAAGCTTGTATGGGGTGTGCTGTTTGTTCTGGTCTAAAGCAAGTCTTTGGCTTCTGCAGGGCGCAGGGCCACGTTGGGCCATCTCTTCCAGGTCCCATCTTCCGATTCTACTCCATGCATAAGCAAAATATCTCACAAAGATTATCTACATTGGCCACCGACACTTCCCACCCAGCAAGCCGAAGTTTGGGACCTTTTTTTTTGACATGCAAGATCACAAGACCGTGGCGGCCTTCGACCTGTGTTCATTGCAGCGAAACCAAATGCAAGAATCCATGGCCACTCAGTGTTGGATCTGTGTTCTGTCGTCACGATGTTTGTTTTTAATCTCTTTGCCACCCATAGTTCTGGAGATATACAATGACCAACTGATTGCAGTTTCTTTCCAAACTTAAACAATCTTAAACATATGCTGATTCATTCTGTTTGCAACGGGAAGCTCCATCCAAGCATATCCAAGCCACACAGGTGTGAAGACCTTTGCTATATGCTTTGCTGATCTATGAGCAGGGAAGAAATCCTGTATTAGTTGAGAATCAAGAACTGGAACATGCTATCTAGCATTTAGGAGTATCCAAATTCTATACTTAGACCAAGACCACCCAACAGTGTAGGCCATAGTTGTTTACCTGTTACATGTTGGGTTGGAGTTTGGTGACAATAAAGAAGAGTGGATGGAGTTTCCAGATGTCAATCAACACTGTGGTCTGAGGCTGGAAGGCAAGGTGGTACATGAGGCGTGTTTTTGCCAGTCGCTTCAGGTCACCATCCAGTGATTTTTGGCTTCGTAACCAACTCGTCGATCTCGGGTAGGCAAGACTTTGTCTTGCATATGATAGTGGTTTGGCCGCCACTCTTTGGTTGCGACACAGCCCTTGTTTGGCCGCGCAAGAAATTTGGTTGGTGTCTCCTTCGACATTGTTTTTTGCTTGGAACTATGATGGGCATATCATGGCTATCTTTTGGGCAGGTGGTTGCCGCTGGCAAGGAGAAGCTCAAGGCAGTGCAGCTGAAGGATGTTGAAATGAAGGGAGGAAAAAGGGTCTATATATATAAGATTATACAATATATTATGTTATATATATAGGCTTAGAATATAAAGTAATTCAGATTTATTGAATTTGTCATATTCTAAGTGCATCCTGAAAAAAGTCATTGCTACATGCAACGAACCCACATAGAATACACACGATACCTGCCATACCTGCAGTTAGAATGTAAACTTGTTTTCTTGCTTGCTTGCTTGCTGCATTGTTTGCAACAAATAGCTGAACAAATGGCTAGTTTGGTATGCCAGCACAGTTGGCTGCCAGAGTTTGCTTATGTTCCTTGATGCATACACACATGCATATATGTATATAGAGAGATTATGTTTGTTAGTTCTTTATTATGTGCAGTGTATGTTCCAAGATTCTCTTTGCATATCCTCGTATTCTAACTGCATGCCCATATTCTAACTGCATGCGGCCAAAAAAAATACTTTTTGATGTGGTTTGCGTATTCTATCTGCAAGTAAATGTTCTGAGCAGATTCTAAGTGCTAACCACTTACTATAAATATATATATATAAGTGTATATATATATATGCAAGTAGGGAAAACAACTACCTATTTTGTAGAAGAAACTGGTCATCCTTTTCGGGCCTATGCCATGCGCTTCCATGATGCCAGGGAGTGTAGGAGGGTGGAACTGATTGATGTCATCTCATTTCGCACTAGCACCATCCTGTTTGGGTGGTGTCCTGGGACTCCCAGCCACTATTTGAGATGTCGGCTCCGATTCCTTCATTCACTTCAATCACTGCGAAAATGGTGCTGGCCTGGTTCTTCAAAGTGACCCAGACTGAGCTCCCAGTTCAAGACCTCATTGAGCCTGGAAATAAGGGTCACTTAGGAAGTCTTAGGAACCCTCAAAAGGTCACTTTGATGTTTGTTCTTTCGGTGGTTTGGATTGTTTTGCGGCCAAGCTGCCACGTGAACCGTGCACCGAACTCGTGATGCAAAGCCTCGCAGGGCTTCGGCGGCGGTGGCGGTGGCGGTGCTGCCGTGGCTGTGGGCGGTGGTGGTGGCGGCGGCGGCGGTGGAGAAGCCGCTGCGAAGAAGGCGAAGATGGGCAAAGTGACGATGGTTTTTGTGTGGGATTTCATGTCAATGCGGATTTGCTGGCCATGAATCACTGAATCACTTCCCCCTCAGACACGGATCGACAAACCTCTTCAGGGCTCAGAAGCTTGAACTCTCATCAACCGTCCGTCCCATGGTCGATCCTAGTTATAGTGTTATCTTTTTTAAGGGCGTGACTCTCCAATTTTCCAAATTCTCCTCCTCTCGGGGACCGATCCTTGAAACGTCCGAAAGGGGTCGCGAAAATCTTGCGGTGCCAGGAAGAGAAGAAGGCTTGGTGGATGGCCATAGATGGGAACACATGCGAAGAAGAGAGACGACTTGCGACTGACGTGCTTCGTGGCTACTCAGTGGGAGGGAACAAATGGAGTCACATCAGTGCTTCGCTGGATCCCAGGCCGTGGGAAAGTATGTGACACGTCAGACCAAGCCGTTAGGCAATAAGTCAAGGATTCTCAGGGTCCCAAGAGGTCCTAAGATCCTCATAGCTCAGGTCCCAATGCCAAAGTTTTCTCCTTTTGTTAGGTCTGACAGCGGATGTGAAGAGACGGTGAGTTGGTACGGAGGAGGGGTTCGGGGTTGAAGTCTTTTCAAGACGGATGTCTCGAACCTGAGGCCTGTCATGGTCAAAACCACCACGAGCGGTTGGGGTAACATGTTCTTTCCCCTAAACATGGTCGTTCTGAACGCCACCTGGAAACCCAGTCCCAACCAGAAACAAAGGGATGTTCGAACGTAGCAATGGATTGATCCGTAGGAAGGAAGTGGCTGGGACTGGGGAAACACCCACACCGCATTTGATGGAGTTTCCAAGTTTGATCTTTGCCCCGAACTAGTAACAGTCATCTTATGGTCCGTATACTGTATGTGCGTATACAAATTGGCATTTTTTGTGAAGAGAGAGTTAATCAAGATTGATAAACCAGGATAAATGCAAACTATCGCACACTTATATATAAGGGTATATGGTATATGGCTTAGTCTTGTATAGTACTAGACTCTTTGCGATGATGACATGTCTGAAGCCACGCAAAGGACGCGGGTTGGTGCACCCCACCGTGTCTCGGCGTGGAGACACCGTGTCTCGGTCGTTGAACGGGCAGGTCGTGGAGGAAGAAGAGGAGGAGGAGATGGAATTCGACCTCTTTGGCTGAGCAAAACGAGCAACGACCGATCGTTCACCACCGAACAGAGACCGCTCGTTCACGTCCTTTGGACCAGTGCGGACGATGCCGGACGATGCCAAGATGGTGTCCTCCTCGGGGAGTCGATGCAGCGAAAAGAGCGGGGTGTTCGGAGTGCGCCAGGATGTTCATCCAATCTTTGGCTCCAGCTCCTGCAGCTAGAGAACCACAGAACCTCTTTTTGGAAGATAGGCCATATTGCACCTATTGGGGAAGAATTTGTTCAAAGAGAGTCCGTTTGGGATCCTCTTGTACCTGGATCCCTCACAGCCGCTCAGCCTGACGAGTCGCCGATGCTCAGCCAGACTAACCAGAATGAGGCATGAGGCATCATGAGGCTTTGATCCAAAACAATGAGACATGGTAGGGACATGTAGGGACACCACAATCGGTTTTTGATGTTGCCCTTTACTAGTAGTACTACATCCTGGCAGTGCAGGTCCGAAGGAAAAATGACGCGCATAGCATAGATGACTCCACGATGGAATTTGAGGGTGTAAAGCGTGACATTTGCCTTTTTGGTCTCGCAGTTCCACTTGTCAAATTTAGTTGATTTTTTGGGGAGGGGTCACCTTTTGGTTTTCAATTTGGACAAGTCATCTACCCTTTGGTTTCCTTTGTTTTGACTTGGCCAGAACCTAAGCTGTGAGTCACATACTTATTTAGATTTGGGTGCCACTGTGTGCAAAAAGAAAGGTGCGGAAAAGGCGGGTCAAGGATGGTCAAGGCGTTTTCATGCGCCGACACATGCAAAACCTGTGAACATTGACAATGATAGTGCGTAGCCCATCGCACTGCCGCCAGGTGAACCCGTCTCAACGGGCGGCGATTGATGGTCTGAAGTTTGCACTGGAGAAAATCCAGGCCGACGCTTCCATGACTCTGAGCGAAGCAGCATGTATTCGACGAGGAACTCTGAGCAAAACCCCGCCGGTTCACCTGTCGGTCCGTCCCCGGCGTTTCATGAAAGAGGTCCGTTTGGGTGCCGTGACCCAGAGCCAACAGGTTAGGGTGGGACGTGCTGGGATGTGCTGGGCGACAAAGGAACCAGTCTTCGCACTTTGAAAGAAAGGACTGGACGTTGACCCAGGGAGATTGGCGGGAATTGAAAAAGGAAGATTGGCGGCTTGAATGGCAGCATGGGTACAACCGTAGTAAAATTAGATTTGACAAGATCTTGAATGGATGTTGATGGGTGAGTGGGTTCTGTTTTGTGCACTTGTATGGCACGGCTTGACGGTTTCCACAGTGTGAAGTGTTGATTCACTGAAAGCCACCCGAGAGGCACCTGTTGCACTGGCAGACATGCTATTGTTGACCAGTTGTAAGTTGTGAGCATCCCCCACATGAGAAATCTTTACAGGAAACATCAACTCGAGTAAACCCTTTGTAGCATCAGTAGGGGTTGGTTTATCATGGTTTATCCACAAACTGTTGTGCCAGGGTCCAACCAGAAGTGATGCAGTGTTGAAGTTCAGAGAAATTCTATGCAGTCTGTAAATCTGCAACTGTATCCTTTTGGGGATTAGCTGCATTGCTTTGCATGAAGATGCATGACGTTCGGTTTATCAAACATTTTTTAACTGAGAGTGGCTCATAACACCAGGTAGCAATCGTAATCCCCAGAAGGATCATCAACAAAAAGGATCGGGGACCCACAGTGAGCTACAGGAGCTTCTGGCACTACAGCACTCACCGAGCTTTTGTGGGATCCCCCCCATGTGGGATCCCCCCACCGCTGCACCGCTCCGCTGTGCCCCAGGGGCCTCCGGGCACGGGGAAGTCCACGACGATCTTCCACATCTTGGAGCGGGTCTCCGGTCGAGTCGGTCGACCGGGCAGAGACCGGCATTTGGTTCAAGACGCCCTGGTCGGTGGGTGCAGACTCTGGATGAAGAAAAGCCTCCTGGGATTGACCAAACCTCTTCGTACGGGGGGTCGATATATATATATATATAGATAGATAGATAGATAGATAGTCAACCATCTCCATGTGGTGGAAGACTCCATCTAGAGGCTGGAGGTGAGAATGCCAGAAAATGGTTGGGCCGGCGGGTGTGTTTTTGCTGCATGTGTGAAGGATGGTCCAAACTTGGGTGAGATGTTCAATTGATTAGTTATGATGATTCATAACTGTTGATGGAGCTTTATGCAGTTTAAGCTGTATCTCAAGTCTCCAGTGTCATATGTGGTACGTAGGGATTTGCAGAGCCAACACGCTTGATCTTCTAAGACTTTGGGCTAATGGTGTGGGCACTGAGTCTAGCGTTGTCAAGAGGTGCGCGAGGTTGAGCCTATGTTGAGAGGCTTGCAGAAGATTCGGAGGGCTCCCATGCTTTGTGGCCCTGTAGCACTTGCAGATCCTGGTGATTGTGTAAATTTGGTCATCATGATTACTGATTGCTTCTTCCCTAAGAATCCTTGGACTGTCCATCCTCAAAAACCCTTTCCATTTGATGGCCCGCATTCTCGGGCAGGTTGTGATTATGCCATTGACCTTTTGAACAAACAAGAGACCGGAACAGGTCTTCTGGCACTTGATGTTTGAATGTATAAATATGACCCATGCGCTCTAGAGTTCAAGCCACAGTCCTAAGTCCACAGTAAGGCAGTAAGGGCTGTGAGTTCTTTGGAGGCTACCTCGAAATGTTGTGCTCACTCACTTGCTTCTATACAAATCTGTGCCCTTGCACTGCCAGTGAGAATAACTCACGTGATCTTGGTCGCAAGTGCTGATCAACTGCTACAATTACAACCTCCATCCTATTATCTCTCAACGAGATCTCCATTCTCAGAATCTGCCGTACCATGAACCCCTTGACCCCCGGAGAGATCCCGATCGGGTCGGACCGCGGGTCCACGCACCGTTGGACCGTGGGTCCACGCCGCTCGGTGGGACCGCGGAGTTCGCCAGGACGCACGGGTGCCACGAGGCCACTGGGAAGCCGTCTCGACCAAGGACGAGAAGTTCATGTTCGAACCACCCACCACTACCACCCAGTTTGGGTGAGTTATTAGATGGAGAATAGATCGTCAGGAGTCGGGGGGGATGGACAAAACACACCATGCTGGACCATGGCATGTTTAGGGTTATAGGTTGATCTTATCATTTGATGCAAGCCAGTACCCTACAATGTCCAGTCTCACTCAGTAATACCTGCCTTGAGGCCTTGAGTAGTGTGAACTTGTATGACCAACTCCAGTGAGGTCATTGACCTGTAGGGGTAGAATAGTTCTTGATCAGTACAGTGGTGAACGAGTCCGGTTTCCCTGTCGCGACGGTTTGCCTGTCCTACGTACGGTTCGCGAACCAAAACGTTCCGCCGTCCTTGGACCTCAGGTGCTTGCCACCCCTTGACTGCCACCCTTGGGGTTCTGGGTCCCTCGAAGCATGTCCACCTCGTTTGTCCACGTGAACGTCCACCGATCCGTCCACCCGGTCCTCACCGGAGGGATCGGCTGGGACGACTCACCGCATCGGCAGGTTCCAGAGTCTTGGTGTGGCGCTCGGCCGGTCGGTCGACCTTCGGTGAAGACCTACAAGTAGGAACAAGAAGCTACGTTCGGGGCTCCTGGCATCGCTACTAGGAGCAAGGACGCTACTATGGGCTCCTGGCCTTACTACTAGGAACAAGAAGCTACATATGAAGCTACTAGTTAAGCTCCTGGCAATCTATAGGAGAGATACACTCAATATTGGAATAGTCATGATACTGGAGTTCACCACCTGTTTGGTATTCAGAAAAGGGTCATCCAGGGGGCCGTGGCTATCCACGCAACCATGAGTAGTCCAGGATGTGTATACACATGTATACACCACACATTCAGCTTCAAGGAGTGACCTTAGATACCTTAGCCACACAAGATCTGCCGCGACCGTCCCAGGTCACCTGCTCCCGGAATGTGGCGGTGGAATCGATCGCCCAGAAGCTCTCGGGTTTGGAGGAACGAAAGCAACGAACGTCGAGAGAAGCTCTCGATTTGTGGTTGGTTCTTGTTGGACGGTGGATTCAGGAGCATGTCTATACTGCTGGTGGTGAGGCACTGTTATTCACATGTTACAACGTATTAGTAGATAGAGCGACAACCAAGACAGAACGACATCAGGGGCAGGCATTTACCACCAAGACACTATCACAAAAAAACATGTTTCACCATATTTCACCAAATATCACCCAACAAGTTGCCATTTTGTCGAGCAGTTCTTGGTGCAACGACCAGGGCTTGCCGCCAAGACTGACCCCTCCAGGACTGGCCCCTCTGCGTCTTCGGCCCTCGCGATCGCGTGGCCTGGACTGGTCTGGAATGGAGTGCCGGATGGTTTGAACAACGACCGGAGAACTGGAGAACGCAAATGAATGGAGTGAATGTGGTTGTGAAAAGCTTGGAAACATGTTGGAAACTACTGTAAGCGATTTTGAACTACAGCATTCATATGCATTCATGACACTTTGTATTTTTGTTGGACTTTGTGCGCTTTGTGGTTGATTGATTTCACGGGTCAAGGTGTAGGTCATCAACTATTCCAGTCACATGTGGTGTTTAGATGTGTTCAGGGATGGAGACTGTAAAAGGTTCCATTGGTGGACAGAGGCTTGGTCCGCAGCAGGAGTTTTCCAAGCAAGACTGTGGATAGTGTCGCCTGAACTACTCATGGGAATGATGGAAAGCCGTGAACTGTTATGATTCAGCGATCTACAATTTCTATAGTTGATTTGCTAGATACGTAATTAGACAATGATGGATTATGATGGTGAAAACTTAACCAGGATAGTTTGACCGAACAGGAGCTTTGAATTGCTGATTTGTTTCCTCTATTGTTGCCCACTGTCAAGCTTGTTGCTTGTTTGTTGTTCTGATGTGTTTTGCTCCGCATTGTGCTGTTCATGCGTGTTCTCGTGCGAAACCGGACCCCCCGGGTCCCGTGGTCACGTCCCTCTCTTCCGGGAACCGGAATGGATGTGGACGGGTCCCCGTTCGGGCGGGTCCCAGGCTCCGGTCTAACAACGTTGAGCGTGGTGAGACGGCGAGGAGCGATACAGCTCAGTTTGCTTTTGTTGACAGAACGACGATGATCCATCTGAAAAGACATCTATGATGCAACTACGACCTGCCCCTGCCCCTGCAGATCTGTGGAGGGGCAGGGGCATCTGAAAAGACATCATCTATAGTTTTTATGATGCCCTGCCCCTGCCGATTTCCGCACTGAGGTGGGGGAATCTGCACGCAGATACCTGCTGGATTCTCAGGCATGGCACACACATTGCTGGAACTTCGGTGGACCCAGAGCGATTTGGATTTGTAGCAGCCAAAGCTTGAAGGTTTTGCTGTTGACGCGGGCACCATCCCTGTTTCTTCAGGTACGTGGTGGGAAGCCCCTGGATCCGTGAAACATCAAAACCACAAAACTAGGCCGGGGATGGCCGGGGTCCATGGTAAGACCCCTGGAGCTCTATAGGTTAAAAAGGAAACGATGGACCAAAAGGAGCATGCTCATTTCCCAGCACCAATGAAGTCTTCAGGTATTTGCCTCTTCTTCACCACACCTAGAGCCAGGCCCTATCTCAAGACACCAAGAGCCGCCACTCGATGTGCGAAGCCATCGACCGATGTCGAAGCAGACCGATGTCGCTTTGCTGAAGACTCGAACTAAAGGCAGACACAAGGAGCACAGACTCTTCAATGGGACTGGAAGATTTACTGACCAGTTGCGTTAGGCCATCGGGGATCAAATATTCCACACATTCCACAAGATATTCCACAATGTTCCACAAAATTGTTGGATGATCTGATATTGTTTGACGGAAGAACGACTTCTCCGAAATCCACCTGAGAGCAGGCAGACCGCGTAGTTCTGAACTGTGAAAGAGTCAGAAGCAAAAAGTATGGCCATCGGGGCACCTGAAGAGGTACTGCAGTAGATTCTAGCACGAGATGGGTATGAAGGGAGATCAGATTTCCAGGTGCCCTGATCTATACATTGGGTCTGTCCTGTTACTATACCTGTGGCAGTCGGTAAACAATGATCACTAATATATATATATAGATATTACTAAGCATCATCATCTTCATTGGCAGTTGAGTTAGAACAAGGCCTTTACTAAGCATCATCATCCACTGGGCCCTGTCATGGGATAGACGCAAACCGTACCCAGACTCTGAGGATCACCCTGATTTCAGTCGCTGCAGTCGACAACACTCCACAGCTGCGCTGCCCTTCCTCGTGCCCGGGAAGACCAGATGTTTAAAAGATGCCAAGGCTAATGCCAGGCTGGACCGGGTGTGTGGCCATTTTAACCCGATGAATTCAGGTAATATCACTTATCTAACTCCAGATCCGATCCACACAGGGCAGATCTCCCGTTGAACACCGGAGATCTCCGGGGTTCTTCACGTCTCCGTACCGTACCGTGCTTCGTAGCGATGGGGCAAGCCGAACTCGGGCTCTGCCTCGGGCTGCTGCTGTGCACTGGGCGCTCGTTTGGGATGCATGCGACCCGGCAGGACGGAGGGCAATGGAAGTGAAATTGCAGAGTCTGGGAGATCAGGAAGATCAGGGAGATCTGTTCTGTACATGTTGAATCGTGTTGGCAGGTATTAATTTGACTGGTCAATTTGTTTGGTGCTCTGCTGACTAGAGCTGCCAGCGCTGTCGCTTCCTGAGCGTTCGTGAGTGAGGGGTAGCAAGCATGGCATGGGGAAGCTTTGGTGTTTTGGCTTTGCGCTGTTGATCCAGCGCTTTTAGGCCATCAGTGTTTCCACAATGGACCGGGCACAGACACTGGTCATGTCTTTGCGTTTGCACCCAAACGACTTACTCCATAGTAGGCCGCTTATGTCTTGGTCCAACCAAGCCAAAAGCAAGAAGGTTTAGTATGGTTTACTTATGTTTACTCCATTTGGATGCTATCCTCTTTATCCAACGAGCAGCAGCCGTGTTTAGCTTCGCATGCGGAACGTGTCGCGTGCCGCCGAGGTTCAGATCATGGTCACCAGCAACTTGGTTTTGCGCCAGAATTCTTCCCTCTGGGCGAATTTAGCCAAGTGCTACATATAAATATATATAGCGATCGCAAATGGAACACATGGACAGGTGGGTGAATTCCATCGCATGAGGAATCCCGGCTCCTCCAAGGCAAGCTCTCCTCCTTCGAGCGCCGCCAAACGCTCCGCGACGTCTTCATCAGCTGCGCGGCGCGTGTGGCGACGTTGGAGCTCCACGGCAGCGACAGCCGTGAATGATTTGACCAACAGAGGTAGACGAACCCGACCCGTTCGACTATCCCAGTATAGCGTACCATACCCAGACGCTCCATGGGACTGCCATATATGCCGATCAGTTGGGGTGGTTTGGGGGGTCAATGTAGGCATATATGTTCCAGTCCCATGGAGTGTATGGGATAGGGTACCCCAGGTGGACCGGGTCCTTTTTCCGACGGATCCCCCGGTTCACCGCGTTCGGAGTCCCGAGGGACTCCACTGTCGGAGCGAGGTGCGAAAATGGTCCACCAGTCCCAAGTGTACTTCCGTGCAACGCAGAGCGTGAAAATGGGGCGGCACCCCCGGAGGAATTTGCCAGTCCAACAATGGATACACTTCTACACGAATCCTCAAGAAATGTGGACTATCTCAGCGCAAAATGCGCACGCCCCACTCGCATGCAAGAACTAGCGGAGCGTGGGTTGGAGATGCTTGGAGCGTTCTGTTTACCAGCATCTCCAGCATGGTCATCGTACGGACTCTGGACCGGAGGTGCCGCCGTTCATCGTTTAGAGGGATTGTTTTGCCTGCAATGTTTTGCAATGCTTTTCCAGGCACGATGTGGAGCAACTCTTCTTCTTGGGCGATGCAGCAGATGTGGATGAGGAGCTACGATTGGGCTTCTTGCATTACATCTTGGCTACACACCCGACAAAGATTGTATGGGGTATTACAGTAATAGTACCCTAGCAATCCATGTATGGAATTTTCATATATATATATATACATAGAATATGTAATATGTGTGCATATTAAACCGGACCCACATTGCGGTGGTTTCAGGGGTCAATGTAGGTACTAAGTATTACATACATGGATTGTTTGGGGTATGTATTCAGATCTTTTGTTTGGTATCATACATCCACATACCCACACGTCCGCATGTTTGCACGAGCTCATACCTCATGACTACAGTATATACCTCATGAATATTAGAGGGGGTCTCATGATTTGTGTTATGTCACTTATTCATGTCATCTATTCACCCATCGCAGACAGACTAGCTGACTTGATTTTGATGCTGTGATTTTGTCTCTCGCTACAAAGCTCCTGCTTTGACCACGAACGGAAAGGATAAAAATCAACTCAGGTCTGGATGGTAGATGGAATTTGTTCTTCCAGATGTCCAGTTTCCTTGTGTTGGTCTTCCGGGCGGAACACTTTTGCGACCTGACACCATTCTCCCCTGAGGCTTGAAGGAAGAAGGAGCCAGGCAGTTTGTTTGGACTGACATTGCATTTTTGGAAGGAAAGACCATGTGACACAGAGCTGAAGGGGTCGCTGGACATATCTGGACATAAGAAGGGGTCACTTCAACAGCAGCCCTTGGCACTCTTGCCAACCGGATTCCAGATGCTAGGTGGCTGGGTGCCAACATGTGCAAACCGTTTGGGACCCAGCGACATAGGTGAGGTGAAGGCAAAGACCCTCAGCTGCTTGCGGTTTGGTGCTTGGGTTGCTTCCTGGGGTCGCACGTGGATCTCCTAAAGCACCCATGGGAATGCAGTGGAGCTGCTTGAAGCTACTTAGTCCAATTGGAGCAGTACGTAGCATTCATTGCCGGATGGAATTGCAATGGAAACCCTCATGGGCCCCCAAACAAGCCAATTTGGCTACATACTCCCTGCCATGGTAGCTTTTCGTCCAAATCTACCATGGATCGTGCCTTCCAACAAGGTACGTGCATCCCTATACATGTTGTCCCTCGATTCTTAGGGTATGTGTCCATATTCAAATGCGGGCGACTACCCCAACCAATGCTTCTTGCTACGTTTGTTCGCAAACCTTATGACCGATGACTCCAGTCCAATGACCAACCTGTATCCACATTTTAGGGACTCTCTACTGTACTCTGGATTTGTTTGGATATCCCGTTTCAAAGGTGGTCAGGGTGGGATCTTTGCCCACCTTCTGAGGATATGGGCCAGGAGCCCTAGGGCTGGATCACCCCAACATAAGATTCCTCACCCACTCTTTCTTCACATCACCGACTCTTTCATTCCTGGTCGAAGTTCCTCGGTGCATGGACGTCCAGGTTCAACGACCTGGTTTTCGTGGGAGGCCCCGACGCGGACCCGGCGGTGGAGCGCCCCTGGGCAGAAGGAATAGCCCGCTTCAGGGAGGGGAGTTTTTTGCTCCAAACAGTGTGGAAGCACTAGGGGTTCTTAAGGCTATAGTCATTAAGAACAGGTGTTTGATCGAGGTGCTCGCATCCGCCGCTATCATGCGGTACATTCATTCACCTCGAGATCTTCGATGTGCATTTCGACTGCGCATGCTCGCAGAATCTGGTGGGCCCTCTTCGAGACTGCGCTCTCGTTGTGGTGCCGTGCACACTTTCGGGCTTGGTGATCACTTTTGGTGGCAGGCGCAAGGGAAACCTCGTGCTTTTGTGGCCCACAGTCGACATTTCGTGACAGGTGCAAGAGATCGGAGCAGTTTTTGTGTACTGATTTCGTTCTGGACATGGTGGTAGTCTTCGGTGTGCTCTGATTTCGTGTGCATTGAGTCGTGACTTTTGGACCTCGTCTTCAGAAACCGGAGGAAGTCTCGAGCGAAAGCTGCGCTTGGGCATTTTGATGTTGTCTTTATAAAGTAACTTGGAAGTGCTCTTGCTGCGAGTCGCCTTGGCAGGGCTGCGCAATGTGAATCTTGATGCGCAGATTTTGCTCGCGCCGAGTCGCTCGAGATTCGGAAGGGGCAATTTGCACGGGCTTGAGGCTTGTATGGTCCATTTCAAGTGCAGTAGGGCCTATACAATTTGATTCACAGGTCCAAAGAAACCGGATGAGTATCTTCTTTTCGGAAGGAGTTGTATAGAACAACCAACCAACCAATAAGCCAACCATTCCAGCACTGGGTGAGCATTCCCTGGCAAAAGAAGGTGCATTTGGACGAGTTTTTGTCTACCCGTCTCGGCGCAGCAACACCCATGCCAATAGCGGACCATGTCTCTATGCGACCCACGTTACGGGTATCACGTCAATATTGCCAGGGAAGTGGCCCCAACGGTCTTGAGGGAAAACCTGGGCAGATGGGGAAGCGATGAAGGCAGCCCGGAAATCATGAAAACTACAGACCGTGTGCTAGTGCCGAAAGCGAGGCGACGTGACGTACGTCCTTGAACGCCCCACGGCACGGGGGTTCCGCCTGGCCATTGGCACGGCGTGGCTCGCGGAGCACCGGCCACGTGGAGAACAGTGAAGTGGGAGCTGGGTATAGGTGGGCATCCACTGGTCCGAAAGGGAAAAATGCAATATCCAAAGGTGGAACATGGTGGAAACATCTGATTTTGTTTTAAACATTTTTGGCCATCGTGATACTTGTTATTTGTGGATCCACGGGTTCTTTAGTAGGCCACGTTGTTCAACCTGCGGGGCCCCCTTGGGACTGGATGGGAAGTCATGCTGAACCACATACATGGCTCCTCGGTGAAGAACGAGTCTGAGAAAAGCATTGATTGAGGATGCACCCGAATGTTCACAGTCTTCCAAACAAGTTGACTTAACGTTTTATAGATGGTTGCTTTGGAGTTGTTGGACTTTGATTTCTTTTGACAGAAATGAATTGTTCGTTGGCCATCTCTCCTGTTTGAAACGTGTTTGATACCTCATGTGTCGAGTCGATGTTGGCCAGAAATCACTTGCTAAGCAGGGCCCTCTTCCAAGTGACCTGTGACGCGTTACATTTGCAAGCCGCTGGTACTTTTTTGCCAACATCATCTCCTGCCAAGTGTTTGACTCCCGTGCTGAAGAAGGTTTTTCTTGCAAAGCAAAGGTTTTGGGGACGTGAACTCCTTGGGCCTGGCAGACCACCGTCCTTGTTGATTTGGAAAAGGACATGTGCCTTGGTTAGGAATCAATATAGAGGCTCTTAGAGGTTCATCAGGTTTTGGCTTTACTACTTGTATAGTCCATCAATAGCGTTGGCACACCTAGAGTCACCTTCCCAAACTCGCGGCTGTGAAGCTCAAGAACGCTTAGCTTAACACCCGCTTCACCTCCAAACCAAAAATCGCCCGCTTGCGTCAACTCGGGTGGCCGGTTTTCTTGCGCCTCACGTTGGCACTCCACTGGCCACGCCCAGGCCGGACCTGGACTACGTGACTTGGTTTTGCTTACTGTACTCCATATGGGTGAATTCCTGCGGGGGAAGTGGTAGTAGTATCTTCAATTTTTCTCCCGGCTCCTGGACTGCAAATTCAAGGTGATGTACCTGGACGATGACAGCTATTTGCACCTCCCTCGCCTCCTCACTGCGCTGCAGGCGCTCCGCCAGCGGCAGGGGTGTGACAAATCGCTGAAAGTGAACCTTTAGACATCCCAGAAGAAAGGTGTTAACTTGGGGGTCAGTTTCTTGAGAGCATGGCTGTGTCCTTTGGAAGGTTTCAAACGAAGAGCCGGGAGTCTGGGAGCCTGGGAGCCAAAATGTCTGTTGAGACGCCAGTACTGAGCTGACTGCAGTTTGTCTACTGTAAGTTGATATGGCTACTGTAGCATCATTACACATACATAGCGCAAGACTTTTCAACAGGCTCGAGTAAGCTGTCGGAATGTGAGAACAGCCAGAGCAGAATACGTGCAGAACAAGCACTTGAGGTTGCACAGCTTCAATGAACAGCTAACGGCTCGGGTGGTTTGTCACTATATATTCTACCGTATGTTATTCAAGAATGATGATCCTTCACAGGATTACAGGCTACATGCCAAACGATTGGGAAAGGAGCCCACTTCCGGCAACTTCACTTTGAGTATATTCTACAACATTATTGCCAGGCGACAAGACAAGGATGGGACCAAGCAACAAGTTCAGGCTCATGATGGCTGTTTCCTTGTACTACGTACTCTCCCTTCAGACATGTTGATCGCACTTTTGGAATGGGTAGTCTACCGATCCTCTCAGTCCTCTCTTCTGGTCCAAGATTCCAGAGGACTTCTGTAGAGCATATCCCGCTTAGATCGCTTCCCCGGTCGCCTCACCCCATCGGCCCAAGTCCCAACGATTCCATCAAACAGAGTGACTCAGAGCGCCAGGTTGCTCCGGAGTTCGCCAGGTTGGTCCGGTGTTCTTCGGTCTCAACAGCGCCGCATGGATTCCGCGGCGCGGCGCGGCGGACGCGTCGCGTGTCGTGTGTGGTTCGGACGCCCGCGGAGGCGCACGGGAGCCCATCGCTGGCCATGGGCTACGTGATGGAGACGCAGCTGGATACCTTGGACTCTCGGATTGGCCGGACTGGGGTCGGCCAGGGGTTGCCAAGAGGAACGTTGATCTTTTCAGCTTTAAACTTGGAGATGTTGACACCCAAACTCCCTGTTCTTTTTGCTTTCGCGGGGGAAGCTTTGGGTCTTCCAGGTGCTTGAGTAACTGAATGAACATCCAAGACCTCATGAAATGATGGTACAAAAGAGCCTCCGGTTGACTGGACCAATACATCGAATCCCTCTCCGTTATATGTTCCGTAGTTGATGCTTGGAAACGGGCCGGACCCCTCTCGAGGGGTTCAAGAGACCAGCTGGGGTGTCCGAAAATGGTTGTTTCATGGACAATGCCTGGGGGACAAACAGAGGGGACAATGTGAAGGTCACTGGTATCCCGGCACTGGTTCATTGTGAAGCTATCTAATTTGATGGATGTTCCTTGCCCAGCAAAGATCTTTGATCTTAGTTCCGGCTTGGCGAACATTGATCTGTTGCAGGGGAGAGTGGCGGAGGCCGGTCGAGCGGTGAGTGAGCTGCTTCTGTGTCAGTGTTCGACCTGGGAGCTCGGACCGAATAGCTTCTTCAGTTCGGAGCGAGATAGATCGTCAAGATATGTCAAGATTGTGGTGCCAGGGCTGAAGTGTGTTGGGTGTTTTTTTGGGGGGCCTAGGGAGACCCCCGGGAGACCCCTGGCTGGGTAGCTACTTCTTAGACTGGTCATCTAGACCTGAACTGAACCTTTCTCCGGGGTCATTGCCTGTCAGTTGAACACACAACCCACCTCTGGTGGCGTTGTTTTCACACTGATTTGAGCATGTCTTGGGAGTTCTCCACCAGGGACATTCCTAGCATTTCCTATAGCTATAATGTTTCAGTTTCAAGGCTGCGCCTGCCTGCCTGGAAATGCCCAGGAGACGCACATTTGTACGGTGTGCCCGTTGAATTGTGACTTGGACAACGAAAAACATCCCTTGTTGCGGTAGTGTGTCTGTGTGTGCAGCAAACTACAACAAAAACATACCAAAAAAGCCCATGTGGTGGTACGAACTCACCGTCGTCGTGTCTCCACTTGAATCTACAACCTCCGCATGCGTTCGGCTGCGTCCGCTCTCCCCCTTGGTCGGCCTTCGGCCGAATCTGGCGAAGCTGGGCGGGAAACCAACACGAAATAGTTCAACGTACATAAGAGCCTTTTGGTGAGCAATGCCAAGACGGCCAATATATTTTTTCGGTGGGGGCGGGGGTTTCCACAAAAAAGACTCCTGATAAATGAATCTGGGATGACTCCAGTCCAATCCATTGTGCATTGAAGGAGCCCGACAAAACCGGGCCGCAGGTTGGTTTTGATACCACGTGAACCTATCCCAGCTAAGGTGAGGCATGCCAAAATGATCCCTTTCTGAACGAGTTTTGCAGCCACTTTCCCTTGATGTCGCTGGGCGGTTGCGCCTTCCTCATTCACCAGTGCAAGTTGCCCCTTGGAGAAGTAGATTTGACAAAGTGGGAGACTACCCCAAACTGTTCAATATCAAGGTTCAGATACAGAATGGCTCAGAATGGGTCGTGTCACGTACATCGTCTTGTATCTTAGGGAGATCCCCAATGCTTGTTCATTCAAGTTCCCGCATATTGGAAAACTGGAAAATACACAATGAAGTCCACCCGGCAGGCAAATGGCTTTCTTCGTGTGATTGGGTTTGTTTGTGCATTCCTATCACATTTACACTTTCCTCAGGTCGTGAATGTGGGTTGTCTTGGAGTATATATATATATAATTGATTTTGAGTGAACATAGATATCATAAATGAGCACAAACGAGCTGGCAAGTGCGCAGCAAGTCAGCAAGTCTGTTGATCCAACAAGTGGGCGACAACAAGTGACCAAGCCCATGCGAAAAGCCTGAAAAACATTGTTCTCAATGGGTATGTGGCGTCAGTGATCAGTTATCCATTTCATTGATTTACAAAGCAGAGCGGGCGGTGTTGATAGCAGTCGCCCAGGTTTGGGCAAGATGATGCTGAAGGAAATTTGCAGGTGGGCCTGGTGGGTAGGGCTCCAGGCAGTGGAGGTTAAGAGTACCATTGAGAGCCCAATCTAGATGTGGGATCCATTGCCTTGTAAACCAAGTAGTGCCAGCCTTGATTTCTTGGGCACATATACAAGTGACAGAGCTGATAGCTCCCTCAACGTATTTGGGTTCTGACTAGAAGAATGTTCAAATCCATCAGCAAAACCAGCGCAAATCCCAGTTCTTCCCAGTTACATCGGTCAAACATCACTTTTTCGCCAGTGACTAACTCGTTTCGCCCCCGGCCCCGCGACCCGCTGGGGCGGTCGAAGGATTCAACAGAACTCGCAAGCGGTGTTCTGCTTGTTCCGAGCCGGGACTCCCTTGGCTCAGACTCCCTTTGGCCCAGTTTCTTGGCGCCCAACAATCCATGTGTGAAATACAAACGTACCCTCTCAAACAAGCCCAATGTATAGGTCAAGATTGCATATATGGGCTTTTTTGGGGATAGATTCTGTCCACACGACCAAGCGAGTTCACATGAAACCACCCAGGTCAACCGCCCAGGTCACGACCTGGTGTCCTGGTGTCCTGGTTCTTTGTGTCGCCACGGTGGGGCCGTGCCATGGTGCATGGCCGTTCGTCTTCTCCCACTCTGGGTGGACGATGAAGGACAGAGCTGCGATGAGGACGATGAAGGACCCCCAAGAAACTGGGTTCAGGTCTATGGTTGCTTGGACGTAACTGGTTATGCATGGTTATCCTATATTGCTCAGAAAAGGTTCGAAGGTCATAGGGGATGAGAGGGGTATTTCATGGATGTTCATGGTATTTCTATATTTGCCTAAATGATTTCCTCTCGTTTAGTGCTCCTTTTTGCGGGCTGATTTGTCACAGAAAGCGATTCACTGACGACTTCAGGCCTGCGTGCAGAAAGCGCCACTCGGAACAGGGTATGCAGGGTGGGTTTTAGTGGGTTATAGTGGGTTGTAGTGCACGACTGATAGCCTGTGGTGAAATTAGACATGGAAATGATTAGACCAGTTGAGGTATTCTGGCGATGCTGCACCACATCATCGTCGAATAAATACTCCCTCTCACTCTCTCTCTCTCTCTCCTTGTATCTATAGTTGTTGATTAGGCCATATCCTGCTGCATTGGGCATTTTTGCGGGCACAGATTTCTATCAATGCAATGATCTTGTTCCGAAAAAACAACTTGTTAGATACCTGAATCACAGCAATTGTGGGAACGACAATCAATGGGCGTCGACGCCTCCGTCCGAACATGTTGTGTTGCCGGGTTGCGCTTCCTCCGCAACCTGGCCTTAGGTTGGAAGAACCTGCCAGGTTGGTTCAACAGACCTTGCCACGTCCCACGTCCCACGTGCCATGCGCGCACGTCACTTTTCGACTGGTGCACCCAGCTCCGAGGGTCGGCTTCCTTCTGGTCGGCGACCCGCCCATCTGGCCCCGGGGGGGAAAAGAGCACCATCCAGCCATCCAGGCCCTCCAACCTAGAAGCGATGGCCTCCAACTCAGGGCTGGGAAACTGCGTCCACCATCCGTTCGCGGTGTTTTTGTTTTTCCGAGGCAGCGGAACACCATGCAGGTGGTGCACTACTTCGGCATGTTTGCCCCGCGGTGTTGCTTTTTATGTCTTGTCGGGTTATTTATGACTTTACTTCCAGACGCTCCATGGGACTGCCATCTATGCCGATCAGTTGGGGTGGTGCCAGAGGGGTCAATGGGGCGGCATCTATTCCAGTCCCATGGAGTGTATGGGATTTACTTGAACATTTTCCCAACCTGGTCAATCCCCCAAACCTGATCACTGGCTTCGTCACCTTCGTCCAAGTCTAAGGCACCCAAGTGGTTCCTGGGCATGGGCTGGGTCGCTTGGCAGAGTCCGAGACTGACGGTTCAGACGGAGGAGGGTGGTGGCGTTCATGTTCTCATGGTTGCCTTACGGCGACGGGTGTGCTGATTGGTCTCAAGCACTTTTTTAGAGCATAAGAGCAATGTGTTTTTGCTGGGTTCCCAAAGTCTGTGTTTAGTGTGCTTCTTCGTTTTTTTTGTACTTGGTAATTCTCACAAACTCGGACACGAACTACTACTTCTTCTGGGGGTTCGATGGGACGGAACCTACTACTGTCTATATACTCTATACCTCTCTATACTACATGGACGGAACCCTAAAAACCCTAAAAAAGAACTACAGTTTTTGGTGCTTTCTGTTGTTTTTTTTCGCGGTTTCTTTCCCACTGCGGCAGGTCTTTGGGCGGCGGATCGTGCAGTTCTTGGCGAAGAACGCAGCCGACTTGAAGAAGCATGGTGGCCGGGCGTATCAGACCGAATGTATCCCCGTTAAAAGATCCTCTACAAAATAAAATGAAGGCCTATATATTAGGCCCTATATCAGCAGGTCATTTTGTAGAAACTAACTTTTGGGCTCAATCCCTTCATTTTGTAGAGACCCTGCCCGTCATTTTGTAGAGATGGTATTTCCATGCTCGGCATTTTGTCAAAGATAATGTTTGACTCGAACATTTGTCATTTTGTAGAAACACAATAATTGAAAGTCTCATTTTGTGGACTCAAACAACAGCATTTTGTAGAGAATGCATTTTGATGCATTTTGTAGAGATTGATTCAACTGTGGAAGAGGCATTTTGTAGAGATGTTTTGCGCGATGCATTTTGTAGAGATCTCCAGTCGAGTGTGGAAGTAGCATTTTGTGGAGAAGGTAGCTCAAAAACACTTTGTAGATATTTTTTGGGCTATTCGGGTTGAGTCTTCCACAGCATGTTTAGAGAATTTTCTGGAAGCATGTTGTAGATATGTTGGATGATTTTGATAGATTCTGTATCCCCGTTAAAATACGGGGGGAGGGGTGGAGGCCCTCATTTTGTAGAGAAAACTATCTAATTTGGCTCTACAAGGTGACACCCTCTACAAAAGGACACCCTCAATTCAGGGCACAGCGTCTCGGGCCTCGACGTCATGCAAAAGGTGCCCGATGGACGTGAAGTGAACATCCGGAAGGTGGTTGATCCAAGCAGATTTTCCGGTCCTTTTCGCATGGATCACGGTGACGTCGAATCTTTGCACGGAAGCAGCTCCACCCATTGCGATTGGAAGATCTACCACGACCATCCGGTTCCAGTGGAGATCCCTAAGTAGTCCAGCCAGGACATCCATTGGATGGTCCTGGTATCCCCTGAAATCGAGCACCCTAATGAAGGCAGCAGATTCCAGTCCCATGGGGTGTTTGGGATAGTTTCTGTTTTCAACCCAAGAGCGATGGCCTCCAACCTAAGAGCAATGGCCTCCAACCTAGAAGCGATGGCCTCCTGTTTGGGATAGATTCTGTTTTCATGGCCCTCCTGTGTCCTCGGCTTCTCCAAGGTGCTGCAGACGTGCAGCTGGGCTTCTGGCTGGCGCCCTTGGAGGGCGTACATTGGGTGGATCTTTGGTCAAACAAGGATGGGATGAGGTATATTGCAGATGTTCTTTGCATGTTCATGGGGAGACCTCCCAACTAAGTTTAGTTTGTGTTTGATCTTCCAATAAATTCGAAGAAGCTGGCCAGAGATTGTTTGGGTTACGTTGGTATAGACACTGGATGGGTTGGTTGCCATGGTTTGGCTATTGGTGCTATTGGGACTGCATGATTGTTTTTCTTTATATCTCTACTGGCCTTTCGAGCCACCTATGTTGGCTCGCTTGGGTCCAAATAGTTGCGGAGAGATGCGCAGATAGCTTTGTCGGTTCCCTTGCCAAACACCAAATGGCCACTTTAACTAACAACCTCCAAGATGTTGCATCAGATCCCCGCAGAGGGTTGCTTTCGATCAGGTGAACAGCTCAAGTGTATCTGAGTGGCACGGGGGGACTAGCTCTCCGCCTGTAGGTTTTGTTTCAACAAGCTATGGATGCATATGGATGCGAACGGTCAACATATCATGTTGTGGCCTAGCCACTGAGAGTCTCTAAGGACATGAAAGAGGGCCAGTTCCATGACTACCCCATGCGAGGCGTACTGGGCGGAAGAGGGAGAGGCGCCAAAGCTTGGATTGGCAAGGAACTAGAATTGACAATGATTTGGTTTTCCAAACAATCTAATGATTTATTCCCTACAGGTCAAAGACCTGGAGTTGATCATACTAAAACACTATGTATATAAATATGTATCTAAACTCAATGAGGTAAAGGACCAGGTTTTACAGGGTCTTTGGACCTGTAGGAATTGTTTTGCGTGTTTGATTGGGCGCGTAGAAACGAGAGGAATGTTGGTGGGATGCTACTTGTAGGTTCTGAAGAGGAAGTATACTGGGTATCGAGCAGGTTTGGAGCTCACCATATATTATAGTAATATTAATATGCATTTTTCTTCAAACTTATTCCCCTTCTTTGGGCCTCGTGGTGTCGGCCTGCACTAGAGCGGCGGGTCGCGTCCTGTTTGGTTGCTTCGCTTCGGGTTAGGACCGTAGTTCGCTTAGGGCCCGTCCCGCAAGCATCTCGATTAGGGAAGAAGGTAGTTTACCAAAGGTGCCAAAGGTGAAGTTTAGATATTGAAGGTGAAGTTACGCAGTTTAGATATTCATGTTTTCACATGGATTCATGGATTTTGTGCATAAGTTCGCCGCAGGAAATGGACCCACACAGTCGTGGTCAGTCGCCCCATGCGGTCGCTAGCACCTTTGCGAGGTAGCACCTTTGCGAACGGCTGCACCGAGAAGACCATTTTGGTGCACCGCATGAACGAGGAATCCTTCGGCAGTGAAAAGCGATGGCCTAAGAAAACGGAACCGAAGAGCGATGGCCTCCAACCTAAGAGCGAGGGCCTCCCAAGTTGTTGAAACATGCACACATCTGGATGGTTCCACATGCCACACAGCTGGACCATCCAACCAAGATCCAAGCCCTTTTGTTGTAAGGCCAGTCCGTTGGTGACCCATTAGATGGTCCTGATACGTAGGTGGACTCCCCCACCCTCATCCTAGTACCATGTTGTACCTGACCAAACACAAAGGGCTTGCCTTTTGCAACGGCCGGCGCCTTTGGTCTACCTCAAATGGTGTCTTTTGGTTGGATTTCATTTTGCAGCTTTTTCCAGGTCTCTCTTGGGCAGACAGATACGACATGGGGAATGGAGTAAGGAATGTAGCAATATGTAGCAATGCTGTGCTGCCGTGAAGTCTTTATCAACTTTGTCAGTCACCACGATCTTTGCACTGTACAAAGCTCATGGAAGATTCCTTCGCACTGAAGCACCTGTCCATCAATGATCTCAGAGTCTTGAGTGGGGTAGATGAACCATGATCAACCAAAGTCTCTCTCTCTCTCTCTCTAAACTCACACCTCCCACACCATGTCGAGAACCACTTCCTCAAGCGTCGTGCGACCTGCAAGGAGCGGTGGAAGGACTTCGATGCCGAGACCTGCGAGTTGCATTGTCCTCTCACGCCGTAATCGTGCGGTGGTGATCCATGTGCCGTGCTGTGACAGATGTGACGTGCCATGCTGCTGGTGCCAGGTGGGAGTGCGGGGTGGCACGGTTAGTCTTTCTGTTCTGTTGGGATCCAAAACTGAACACTTCAAGGTAGACTCATGATTATGCAAAACACCACAGTTGGATTCTTTGGTTTTAGCTATTAATATATATCTATATATACACAGATCAAGAGTCTACATCAATGCCAGGCCACCATGGTCAGTGGCACATGAGCATCAAGCTGTGCCATGGTTGGCCGCGGAGGCTCGTCCTGCAGAGGAGTCTGAGATGACGGAGATGAGGCGCCATGAGGTGCAGATGCTCAGTTGCTTCCAAAGAGCAAGAAGCATAGACTGTTCAGACTAGACCTACAGAAGATCTACTGTTTGTAATTAACAAACAAGATTCAAGTTTATTGAGTGATTCATAGTGGTTCAATGTTTGTTGATGCATACTGCATCCATGCTTTGAACCACAGTTTCAATACCTTGGTCTTCTTTGAGCCCTATCATTTGGGATTCCCAACAATGATCTAACAATTGATTGATCCATATTGATCCCAAATGGCCCTTTCCTTTGCATCTTCTCCCCACGAGTCGCACCGACCGCCACCGCTTGGGCCAGGAGAACCGCTTCGTGTAGGGTCGGACCCGCGGCGGCGGCGCGCCGCGGTGCACCGGAAACAGTGCGTCGTCCGAAAAGGACCACGGTAGAAGGGGGATGTGCGGAGAAATGGACATGGGGGGAAGGATAAGTTTAGTGTTTGATGATCAGATTCAAGTAATTTCAAGTATATATAAATATAATATATATAAATATGGTATTGAAAAGTATTGAAAGACATGAGTTCATTTGTAGGGGAGATTCCGTAAGTTCTGATGTCCGTCTACCAAGAACATCAAGTCTACTTGCCATGTTTGTTCTGGGCGTGTCCCCGAAACGCCGTGCAGGTGGGTGGATACCTGGATGAGCCAGAGCCTCAGTCGGGCCAGAGCCTGGATGTTTCAACTTAAGGGAGTTCACCAGAACCAGACACCAGACTGCACACCAGACATATCCAGACATGTATATGATTTTAAAAATACTTACATTAGGGGTGACTTCAGGGCTCGACATGGAGTGTTTGGCATGCATGTTCTTTTGAGACCATGACACCTGGGATCCTATAGGGGGCTTGAGAGGGATCCAACCTCCCAAGCCTCCGTTCATGTATCCCACGAACTATATACAGTGCACGAACCAAACCTCAAGGTTTTAAGAGATCCCATCATCTTGCGGTTTTTGAAGAAAGATTAAGTTATGTATTTTATATATATCATAATATGCCTGATTCCCAGTGTTTGGAATCTCAACCGAGAGCCTCTTGGAAATGGAATCCTTGAGTTGCCCCCCAAAAACCTGCTGGACACGCTCCTAGTAGTAAGAATGCTACTAGTAGCGATGCCAGGAGCCCCTAGTAGCTTCTTGCTACTAGTAGTAAGGCCAGGAGCCCCTAGTAGCGTCCGATCGCTCCTAGTCTCTTAGTCTTCCAATTGCTCTTCTCACTCTTCTTCTCATCGCTTCCATCCCGTGGCTCGCATCCACCCGAACCCCATCGGCGCGTGGTTGGCGCACGCCAGGCGGAGGCGGAAGCACGTCGCCAGCCTGGCAGCTCAGGGAGCAAAGACTCTCTCCGAGGCGATCGAGGCTCGCGAGGCCAGGAGGGGTGCAGGCTGGCGGATGAGTCAGACTCAGTGCGCAGTGCAGGCTGGCGGAGTCAGACTACGGCAGTTTTTTCGTTGAATCCCGGATGGCAATTTTCGCTGTCGTGTGGGATGTGTGGCGTGTGGTGATGAAGGTGATGAAGGTGGGAAGGTGATGTTGTGGCGAACGACCTTCCAGGTGGGTCAACCGACGTATCGTGCCATGACCCACTGATTCTCTCAGCCATCAAGCAGCAAAGTCATTGACCAACATGTATCCATGCACTTGCACTTCTAACATGAAAACTGTTGGTGACTGTTGGCGGGATAATAGATAAGATTTCAATACGTTTGCAATTGCCAACTCCACCGGCTAAAAAACTCAACAGACCCAATCACTCATTCAGCTCAGGCTTGTTGACGAATTGCTGAAACATCGACCCTCGAGGTGTGACGAACGAACCCCTCTCCCCGGCCCCACCTGAGAGCGCCAAGCCGCTCTTCTCACAGCTTCACCCTTATCCGCCAGGCGTCCCTGCGCGCCTGCAAGCATGCACGGCTGCTCTTGGCCTTCGTGCGACGGCGGCGCTGGGCTGTGAGCACCCGAGCCCGATGGGGAAGGGGGGGGACACGGTGGAATCAGTGGCAATACCAAGACATGTTGGACAACATCTCTCTATGGGGGGAATTCATCAGCAGTCCACATCAAGACATCGAATCCCCCAAGCAAATTGGTGTTTGTATGTGTGTGTGTGTGTTTGTGTTTGCTTCCCAGGGTTCTTTGGTGAGTCCCCCAACGATACGTGCACAACATGCTATTCAAGTATACATGGCATGTGCCATGGTAGTGGTCTCAACACGACAGATTGGTAGTGGGTTTGTCAAGGGATGTGCCATCCACCCTGCAATGCGGCGGTTTAGAGAGGTGGAATATGTTTGGATTTTTGGAGTATTTAAGCAAATGTATGTGTTTGAGTGAGTGATATATATATATAGCTTTTTAGTTGATTTGTTCAATGAAACAACTACCGCTTGATAGGTTTGGTTGCCACTTTGGACCTTCAGCAGTGCACCAAAAAAGTGTTCAAAACATGTGCTGGTTCGTGCCGTTTTGCGCCATTTCGTCTACTGTTGGTCATTCTGTCCAAAATCTAAGAAGTGCCGCACCGCATAAATTTCTGCAACGTGCCCCAAGATTTTCTTTGTTTTTTGAGACACATGCAAGGAAGATCGGCGTATGATGGCGTATGAACAATCCATCGCCAATACCAAGGCTTCAGACCGGCAACGTGGAGGTTTCAAAACAAAACGCGTGCGTTTGGTTGTCATGCATTTGACAACTTATGTGTTTTTTTCTTTTTGTTACCCTTATAAGTTCCCATCATCCAGATGGTCCGTTCAGACCCCTCGGCAGTGGCTCTGGGCCTTCCGCACGGCGGGGCCCTGTAGCGGTCACCAGGTCTATGCACTCCGAGACTTCTGCCGTCGCATGGAGCGGTGACCCGTCACATGCGGGGTGGTATGAGCAGCAAAGACGAGTGAGGGAGAGGGGCGCAAGCTGGGGAGGGAGAGAGCTGATTTGCGATTTCGATCATGGTACATCCCAGGTTGCTTCGAAACAGACAGGTGTGGGCAGAAAGAATGCATTGCCATGCTTGGCCAAGCACCCACCTTGAAACCCCTTCGGTCATCCCTCACAAAAGCATAAAGTCAAGCATCTCAGGTACTGCGCACGTGTGGCGGCTACACCACAGTGGTGGGAGAAGAGGGCACAGGCATGGGGTGGGCAGGTTTGGTGCCACCGGGCACTTTTGTATTGATCTGTGAGTGCATTCTTTTTCAATGTGTTTGTTTTACGATGTTTGTTTCCAACTCGGACACCCACCAACCTTTCTTGGATCGACCATGGCAGGAGAGCAAGGGGCAGGTCCTGGTCTCCGCCAAAGTCTTTCTTTGCACCATTGCCTCCACCAGCCGTGGGGCACCTCAGCAGCTTCGAAGCACTTCTCTCGGCCCGTGGGTCGAGTGACGAGGTCTGGGACGGAAGGTGATGGCTGCGGCTGGTGAGGGCTAGACATCTCTAGACCCTACTGGAGATAGGGTTTAAGATTGTTTAAGTCTGTTCATAATCCTGTCATTGCCTGTGAGGAGAGCTTGTTGTTGTAGGAGATGAATGGTTTTGTTTTGGCTCCTGGAAAAAGATGATTAAGGGTGAGAGAGACACAGTCAGATTGCCAGGGGATCGTAGAAACTTATAGGAGAGCCCACTATATACCAATCAATTGGGGAAAATCCACTACTAACCATGCAAAGTTGACCCTTGTTGCCCAACAGTTTGTGTAATTCTTTTTCCACCACGGCACTATCAAACCATGTATTGTAATCCCGTGTTGTGTTTTAAGCGCTGACTGTGCTGACTCAGGTATGCTGCGCGAATGGGAGGCACATGGGAGGATCATGCGGGTGAAGAACGAATCAGAATGCCAATCACTTAGAGCTTTTAGCATTGTTTAGGTCGTGTTACCACTCACCCCGAACCACTGTTCTGCAGCAATAAGTTCATTTAAGGTTGAACATGTCACTCCAGGGTGACAACCCACTGTTGATGGTTGTGGATGGACAAAGGGTGCCTTTGCACCTCATGCCGAACACCAGAAACCGACCGGTGAGCATGAAGTGTTCGCAAGTACTGTGTTCTGCAAGGTATTAGGTTCATAATCAGGATACAAGTACTTCACTTGCTGCATCCATGCTGCAAATTGAACTCACACCATCAATGCTCCCCATGTTGATACCTCACGCCAATGATGTTTACCTGCTGAGCTTGAGGTAGATGCCTGGCCCCTGAAACCAAGCGACGGACGTCTGACCCAGTCAAACCTGGTCCTGAAAACCTCATTGAGTAGCGAGTGTTCTTGTATGTTCAACTCCAGTAAAGTGAGGTCCAACTGACCTGTCACAAACGTATATATGTATATGTTGTATAATGAACATATATATATATATATGTGCAATTCATATACTGCTTTTCGAGCTGACTGATGTCGAACCTTTTTCGGTGTCGGTGTCCCTTTGTTTCTCGTCGGTGCAGCGACCATCAGGAAGCCATGGGCAGCCAGCTGCACGTGCACACGGTGGTGGTGGATGAATGTGTCATGGCGACGTGAGGTGTGTCATTGGGTGGTCGAAAAGAAAGAAAGTTCTTTCATACATGGATGTTTCGGGTATATGACATGTGAATATGTGTGAATACCCGTGGCATGAATTGCGTGTGGAATTCTGAGCCGGGATTCTTTGGTTTTGAAAAGCCTTCTGTTGCGACGCCGATTTCTGCACCCGGCACATCCAATCGGACCAATCTAGGCATGTTGCAAGCGCAGAAGGAATTTGACAAGTGGTGTATGTTCACCGCTGCAGTGACTGTTTCAGGAACTAGTTGCCTTTTTGCAGTCAGTTGCTGCGAGAAGGCCACAGGATCGCGCCAGGCAAGTAGGTGGACATGATTGGGGGCCAAACTTCCATCCTTCCCTGCGAATTGTTTGTGCCATTTTGTTGCTTGAGGTGGATGTACACCAGAATCCTCAACTGCTTTGCTGCCAGGGACCTTAGGAAGCTGGTGACATGGTGACATGGGCCAGGCGGGGAGGCTGGAGGCTGGGCGTACATGTTCTTTCATCTTTGTGAACAACAAGCTTTATCGTCCCTACTAGCGATGGCCTCCAACCTACTAGCGATGGCCTATACAATAGGCTGGATACCTTGTCCTTTTAAGGCATTTTTGGTCCTTTGATAGCGGTGATTCAAATGGTCCAGCAGGGAACGCGCTCAAGACGGTCACTGCATGTCATGGGCAAAGTCCATGCCAAGTGCCGCAGACATTGCTGCTAGGACTCCCTTTGGGTCAGACTGAGGGTCTTACAATAAAAACCATATCATTTGCCTGAATTATAGCGACGTCACCCGGCGTCACTTGAAAACTCGACCCAAGATTCTGAATTAAGGGCGGCCCTTCTTTTTCATTTTGTAAGATACTTCCACGCCAAGCACTTGCAAACCAGGCCTTGCATGTTTTTTCAGTTCACGCTGGTTCTGCTTCGACGCTGGGCTCTCGGACGCATGGGTGAGTATATGGTGGAGCTATCGATCCCCGGGACGCCATCGATCCCAGGGGCGCGCGTGGAGTTGGAGCGTCAATCGCGCCCTGTTGGAGCTCCAATTTGGACGTCAGAAATCACGGAGAAAGCCCGGCCGCTCCTTGAAACAGTGTATCCGACCGTGCAAGGGCCATGAAGCTGTTGCCAGGGAAGCGGGCATGCCGCAAGAGTGAAAAGAGAGGGGACAGCACTTTGTTCTTGCAATATCTTGCAATGGTTTTTCATCACACTTTTGAAGCTTCGTGTGAAGTGAGGTCATGCCATACCTGACTTGTAATATCTCGTAATAAGTCCTAGGTTGTTAGGTTGATTCCTTCTGCCCCCCTGCGACGTCACAATAGTTTCGTTATTTCACACGACCTAAGTCCTATTGTATTTCATTTTTGAAAAAAGTCGACCTAACAACCTACGAATTACTATAATTCAGCCAGATATCATCACATCCCGGTGGACTCATGTGGTCTGTTTCGAAGTGAGCTGCGCTCTGCACCGCTTCGTCGGATCCCCCAGGCTTCGACTCCGTCCCGCCAATCTGGTTCGGAGCCCGAGATCGGTCGAGCAAGTGTCGGTCGGACCCGGAGCGAAGGCGGTGGACGAAGGCAGCGTGGACCTGTTAAAATCCTTGAAACATGGCGGGTGACTGGTGTGGCTCATCCGATTTATATATAGGATTATATAGGGATGTATAGGGTGTAGTGCCTGTAGGGTTGAATTAGCCGGTGTGGTGTGTTTTTTTGCGGCTGCAGGTCTCTGGCAGGCCCATTGTGCTTGGTTGAAGTTAACTTTTTGATTGGAAGTCCCTTAAATTTAAAACCTTCGTGTGATACCCTAGCAATTGCTGAAGTGGCAGCTGGTGTGTTACGCTCAGCAAGAACCCCACATACATGAAACCCAAGTCATTGACTCATGGCTAGCATGCCTCACCCGCTGAATGATATGTGGCAGGTTACCAAGAGCAAAACACATCAAAACACCTGACCTTACCAGCGCCGAACTCACGCGTTACTTGGATGTCATCCAGAACCACAAGGTCCAGTTTTAGATCTTGCCATTGCGTTCATGTGGATTGGAACGACGTCACAGACGTCAATTGACATTGACGACATTCACCGGACGTTTTATGCTGCAGTGCTGTATGACCTGGTTGTGCTTCAGCAATCTTCAGAATCTGCCGAATCTGCCGAATCAGCAGCCTCCACCCACGTCTCAGGTGCTCGTGGGAGATCACAAGCAGCTTCCACCCACGTGGCCTGGGCTGAAGATCTTAATCTGGAACAGGGATCAAGCGGATCAAGGGCTCAAGGATCTATTTTCCTAGACATCGTCACCACCTATGGAACGGTTGGTATACGTACGTATAATCAATGATAGTCATCAAATGGGGTTGTCACAGACCTATTTCGGACCCATGGAAGGTCTGGGATAATTCGGGAACCTCCCGTGGCGTTCTACGTCGAGTCAGCGAGTCAGATTCCCTCACCCACCGCACTTGGCGCCCCACGTGTCTCGTTATATGGTGAACTTTGCAACAAAGTGAGGAGAAACATTATCATTACTAAGGCCGCCCTTCAACAAGACCGATCCATTCCAAATCGATCCAGTCACGAGAACAGACGGATCGATGACCCTCTATAGACTCCCGTGGTGTGTGTTAAATGAATGCACATGGGTTTTGGTGCTCAACTCCTACCAGGGGCCTTCGAGGGCCGAGCGCACTCCCAGCCATGTACCAACCACTTCTTTCGTGGGACAAGTCCAGTCACTCATGGGGGGCCAACCGGACCGGACGAACCCGATATGCTCTGAGATGCAGATCGTGCTTGCCCAAGCACCGCAGAAGCGAGACTTCTTCGTGTTTGGGTCACCCACTGGCGCCAGGGCCACCCCAAACGGATCGAACACGGCCGGAGCAACGGCCACATCCACTCCGGAGCATCCGACCGTCCACCAGTGACGTCCCACTGCCAGGTCCATGGTCCAGCCACAGATCTTGGAGGATGGTCCTCCAGTCCCGAGCCGTTTTTCTTGGAGCAGGGAAGCTCTTATTAAGACTCTTATTCGATCAGCGCTGACGTTCTGCTAATGTAATGGTTTTCTTTCCATTTGTTGAATTCAGCCTTTACTTTGGATTATTTGTTTACCTGCCAACTAATTGTGAGTGAGTTGAATCATGTTGAAACCACAAAGCAGACTGAGTTCTCCCAATCCAAACGGATTTTCCGAAGCCTGCACAGATCTTGTAAGCCATGCCAGGTTCATTCTGTTCAACATCTGTGGCATTCAAGCTGATTCACCTGTCGACATGCCACTTTGATACAGACCTCCATTTGTTCCCAAGACAGGTTTAGCATGACTGAAGCATGAATTCCATATGATTCCCCAATCCATCCAGTTGGTCCCAAACCGGTCGCCGCCAAAACGCGGCGCAAAACGGCGTCCGCCTCCCCAGGGCACGGGGCACACACGCTCGTTGCTGGAGCGGTGCGTCTTGGCCTCCGGAAGGCGGTGCGATGCGCTGCGTCGGTCGAGGGATCCGTGTCGAAGAGACGGTGGCCCCGTACAGAAATAGCCAGATAGCCATAGATGCCCATATGGTTCGCATATGTTCACATGAAAGAAATACTTATTTGTGGGTTCAAACATGTGCTTGCTTTGAAATGCAGGGAAAGGAAGCTAAGCAAATTTGAAAGCACTCGCCAAGCAAATGTGTGATCCTTCTGGGCATTCCTATTGTTTGTTTTGCTCCTAACTGCACCCAGGAGCTCAGTGATTCGCATGAGTCCCATGAAGTGGTTGCCGGATGTGCTTAATTCTTGACCGTTCGCCAGGGTGCACCAGCTACGAGAGCAGTACCGCATGTGGTGACCTCAGCGACGGTCGCTCTCCAGCCGCCGACCCAACTCCGTCATGGCATCCGGAACACCGAAAAACGCGGGTAGGTCAACCACCTCCGACTCGTTTGGGCGGCTATCCTGTTCCTTTGGAAGCGTGGGACAAACACTAGGGGTTCCCTGGTGACCCACAGCCAAGTGGGGAGAAGCATCTGGCCAATCTGCAAAACTCGTGATGTGGTGCCACCATGAGTGATGAGTTCGTCCTGGGTCTTGGCAGCTGCAGCGTTCTTTTAGCAGGAATAGCCAATGGAGGGGGTCCGACTGAGCGTTCCTGTTTTCCAGCAAGCGGTTGAGTCTAAGCCGAAATCTTAGCTTGTGGGTGAACGAGAGTTGGGTCCAAACCCTGGGCTGCCAGAAGAACGGACCTCCACCTCCAGACTCGGCTCCAGGCATCCTCGAATCGCTGGCCTGGTGAGTGAGCGTTTCTATGCCGGGCGTTTGTTGACCCCGGCCAGCGTCACCCAGGAGAGCCCATCTCCAGATCGAGACATCCGTTCTGTAGCGTTTGTTGGGGGGACAGATTTCTTGGATGGGTGCACCTTGGGTGATCTTGGGTGTAGGGTTGTTCTTGGACTCTTGGACCTGATACTCAATATATCGGTATATTATCAAACCAATCCTATAGATGTTTTCCCGGGAAGTGTATGTCTTGGTCCATTCAAAGAGAAACTGGGCGAGATCCAACCAACATGTTAATGTTGACCCTTTTCTCTTTGGATTTGAAATTACCATGCCCAAGTCGACTATGCCTCTAGTGGTGTGACTCATGAACTGCAAGCGTGGTACTGGAACCAGCTTTGACCTGTTTTCGCATTCTGGGCACTTTGTACCACAAAGCCACTCTTGAATTGGCTACGACTACGATATGCATTTTCAGCTCCAAATCTGCTCAGTCCTGATTGTTGCAAAACAACAACCTAGCATTTGACCCTGCTTTCCGGATTTGATGTCGTTTGAGGATTTTTGAGGTTGGTTTGATGAACCTTTGATTGTTTACGCGAACAAGAACGACCACATGCAAACAAGTCTAGCCTGAGTGGCACATGCCATCAAAGACTGTCAAAGGATCTTTGGTTTGAACTACATTACAGTACTTGGCATCATGCCTTCCCGCCAAGCCTGCAAACGCCGTGAAAATACTGCAAAAAACGGGGCCTAATTTTCGGGAAGATGAACCATCTCGGACTCTCGATGCTGCCGAGATCGTGTTCTGGGGATTCTTCCGCCTCGATCTCGGCAAATCTGGCCCGACATGACGACGGATTCAAATAAGTCAACAACCAAACCATAGAAAGAAAAATATCCATGTAGTACGAACATGTACGGACAAAGATGTTGGATAGGATAAATGCATGTCAGTCATAGTGGTGCCGAAAAGAAACTACAGTGTCCCAGTGCAGATGCATTTGCAAAAGGGACGTGTGTTTCTCCATTGGGGCTCACTAAGTCAATTTGTTCCTTCTGGCTCAGCGGTGGCCCCCACATCCATTGGAATTCAACTATACGTTTTGCCTCGTCTATTTACAAAGGTCCATGTTCCGAAAGTTTGTAAACAGTGAGAAGTTATTCATCCCATGTTCATCCCCCATCTCAGGTGGTGGAAGACTTCTCAGGAGGTGCATTTCCTGAAGAAGTCTTGCACCGCCTGAGATGGCGGATGCGCGCACCTCCCGAGTCTCTGCCCAGAATCGAATGACAGCCCTCAGGAGCGCCAAGCACAGGAGCACCGGCCCTTGCTGTGGATGGACGTGCAAGGCACCCGGGCGTTGTGCCGTTGTTGCAAGGCACCCCACGCACTGTGCATGTCCTGAATGACTCCCTCCACTTTGTGCATGAAGGCCAGAGCATTGGCCCAGAGCATGTTGTTTTTGAATTGCTTTTCGTTTTCCCCCACCGTTGAGATGGTGGATCTTGTGTGAGAATGGAATAGGAGTGAAACATATCGGTTGGGCATGGTTGGGCTACATCGGAACCGCGCAGAACGCGAAACGGTTTGAAGCAGGTTCTGCTTCGATCCGAGCAAGCAGAACGTTTGCATCGGTGGGCAAAAACCGTTGCCCCAAACCTGGAAACTTTGGTGAATCCAACAAGTGGGTACACCGCGGAAGATGAACATGGAACCTGGACCAGACTGAAAGACCTCCCATGGGTTGTAGAGGACAAAAAAATCCTCGTCCATTTTCAGGTTCCATGCTAATCTTCCAGGGCGTAACCTGCAAGGCTGTGTTTTGGGGGAGTGTTTCCCTAGCAGAGAACCAGGTGAGGCTTGCTCTACTTGAGAAATAGATCACAATTCAGATCCTGATCAAGAGATTAAACATGATGAGACGTTTGTTGCTTGGGGATGTTCATACAGGTTTCCCGTAGTTGGTGAATCTATTCCAGTGCCACCAAGATACATGGCATGCGCACTCATGACATGTACGGAGCCTGCGAAGTCGTGCAGCCTGCGTCTCCCGGAGCTCATGCCCTAACGGGAGTGATTCAGAGCAGCATTTGAAGATTTTGAAGGGCCTGCAGCGCCTCCAGGAGGAGGAATTACAGTTGACAGATGTTGACAGGGTAGATAAGCTTTCTTTTGGGCGTTTGCCTGAGAATACTCAGTCAGGCTGGCTAGTCAGGTAGTTCTTCAGGTGGCCACTTGTTTGAAGCTCATGCTAGTTTGCTTCCTGTCCGGGGCGGTTGCCGCAGAAATTCTACAAAACGAGTTGGATCAAATCGTCCAAAGTGAGAAACCAGTGAGGGCTTTGAAAGAGCGCCAAACGGTGAGTGTGGACAGGCTTTCCTCGGTTTCGGCAGAAGCTCTTCCAGGACAATACGTGCTTGCAGGATGATGCCCCCCTGGCGCTGTCAGATCATCAGATCTGCAACTGGTGACTGGTGATATTGGATTTCCAAGAAGCTGGAGCTGCCCCGATCCGGCATGTGCAGAGGGTCGTTTGGATGAAGTAAAAAGAATGCTTCAAATGCCACATGATCCCAATATGCGAGATCCAGAAAAACACCGAGCCGCCATTTGGAAGTGGCGCAACTGCTGGAAGCAGGTGCTGACACTGATGCTGGACTCTCCCGCTTCACTGCTTTGCACGTAGCAAGCGATCATGGCCACTTAGAGGTGGTGCGCGAGTTGCTTCCGGGCAGGAGCAGACAAGGATGCAGCTTCACTCGCCGGTAACATTGCTTTGCATTTAGCAAGTGATAAAGGCTACTTGGAAGTGGTGCGAGAGTTGCTACAGGCAGAAGCCGACCAGGATTTTCAGAGCACCAATGGTTTGACAGTTTTGCACGTGGCAAGTGAGAAAGGCCACCTCGAGGTAGTGGGAAAGTTGCTTTTGGCAGGAGCCAGCAAGAATCTTGAGACTTCCGGTGGTGGTACAGCTTGGCACTTGGCCAGACGGGCGCAACGTCTCAAAGTGCTGCAAGCTCTGGAGCGAAAGGAACTGCCCTGATTTGTTTTGTGAAACAGCTACAAACAGCTACCAGTACACACCTTTTTGTGCCAAGACCTTCCCCTCCTCACCATCCTCAAGGTCCCATTGTGCCTCCAACCTACTAGCGATGGCCTCCAGCCTACTAGCGATGGCCTCCAACCTTCTAGCAAGGGCCTCCAACCCAATTAGTACTTGAGTGGGCACACATTTACGTCCAAAAGTCCTTCTGTGGGTCTGGGGAGCGCCTTTTTGGGCTTCTCTTGCCAGGCCGCGAAGAGGCGCCGAACAAGTCTTACCTGAACCGTGCTGAGGCGTATTTAGTCAGGGGCTGGCGCCGCCGGGTGGGCTTTGAAGAACAGCTTTGTCAAGAGGTCCTTTGGTGAATTGGATGTATTTGGCATTTGGAGCATTTTTGCTGCACTTGGGGACTTGAATCCTTGGATGAGGGCTCCTTAGCTGTTCAGTTTGACTCTATAACCACTTTGGCACCAAGCAGCCGGAAATCGTTGGAGCGCTGATGCACTGACAAGCTGACAGGAACAAAGGATCATGCCAGATGATAGTGATTATATATATATATAAGTAGTTTGCAGTGTGCAGCATGCTTCCCCTGCAGCATCTAGTACGTGTTATCACCGCTTGGATCTTCAATGATGAAGTTTGCTAAATACCAAAGACCCAAAGAGGGGGTTGACTTGTGTTCGGACATTTCAGAGGTATGGGCAATATCTCAACATAGAGCTCAAAGCATCCCGATGATTTCAGCCTTTGGATCAGTCATGAAGAAAATGGGGGAACCAACATACTGTTGATGGACAAAATCCTGCACCACTTTGCGCAGAGTTTTCTTGCTGCCCTCCTTCTCCCTCGTTAACATTGGGGCCACCACGGTGATAAAACCAAAACAAGCTGAAGATCCAAAATCCTGCACCACCTCGTCAGAGGCGTCGTGCCAACATTGAATGAGGGGGCGCAGGGGTTGCTATGCATGCCTTCCAGGGTAAAGTGGTGAGGTGGTGCAGGATTTCGTCCATCAACAGTCTCGTTTCATTACTTTTCTCTACCCAGCTTGTTGTCCGGTGTTAGTTTTTCGACCAGCCCCACCTGATTCCAACGATGAGTTCACGCCTTGGATGAGTGCGGCAGACGTGGAGTTGTGGGTTCACTCGTCCCTATGTAGGGCCTCAAATCTGGGATTGGTTTGGGATTTCATCAATCGAATCTGGGGCTGACTCGAGTTTACCACAGTCAGTCAGTCATTTGATTTGTTGGACTTCAATGCTTCGTTGAGTCTTTGGCGGTTTCTCATGAAGCCTGGCATCAAGCGCGGAATCCACCTCAATAGAAGAAAATGCAAAGAATCCAACCAGGCCTGGTGTGGGCACGAACCTTGTAAATAGAGTAAGCATTGTGGGATGAACAATTAACAATCGCACCGTCGGATACTACATATACAGACGTATATACATGAGGGTTCTTTCTTCTTCGCAATGCCCTCACAAGTCCTTGTCCTCCCCTCAAGAAGAACATTGCAGAACCTTCAGTCCAGAAGGTCCAGTAAATTCCAGTAACATTTATGTAATACCAGTTCATAGTTTGTAGACCACATTTGCGACCACTCTCGTACACATCCATCCATCCATCCATCCATCCATCCATCCATCCAGCCAGCCAGCCAGCCAGCCAGCCATCCATCAAGACCTAGGACACCTGCAGGACCCATGGTGTCAAGCTTGTTTGGGTGTGCAAATTGGGAGACCTCCCAGTTGGAAGCTGAACATGCACCAGTCTCATTGCATGGGTCTCCCTATGTCTCCGTATGTGATAAATATGTATACACACTCATGGTGTCCCCAGTCTACCCATCACACGAACGGACCCTTCTACCAGCAGACCCCGAGGTCAGCGCTTGTGTGCGCGTGGCGACGCGACTCCGAGAGCGGATCGGGCGCGGGGAGCGTTGGGGAAGCGTTGGGAGCCCGGTGTTGGGGGCCCGGCGGTTTGGAAAAATGCCAAGAGCAAGTGCGAACCAGTGAAGGATCCGAATGATCACTTCTTATAGGCATCCACCCCTCGTACCTTTTCAGGTACCACTGGACTCTCACTGGACCTCGGGGTTGGTAGATGTTGGTGGGTTTTTGAGGTCCCATCTTAAGATGAGGGCAGTAGGCGTCGGAAGAGCTGCATGCGTTGGTATGTGCTTGTTGAGCTGATGCGGGACATGAGGAAATGAGTTGTTATCATTTTTGCTCTAACTGTTGACAATCAAGTTGACAGTTGATTAATAAGAGCCTCCTTGCCAGGGTGGTTCTAAATCTCCCTCGGACTCCATCGGGGTGTATTAATCAACCGTCAAACTTACTGGTCATTGTCATTGCAGATGGTTTTCTGTGGATCTTAACAGACAAGGGCTAGGCTAGCAATCAGTGGTGCACTGAATTTGATTTCAACGTGGATTCCTTTCAAGTGCATCGACATGCATGTTTGTGCTTAACCGGTCCCTATTTTCAATACATGTTGCATGGTGTCGGGTGAAAAACTCATGTATGTGCTTGTTTGCAGATGTTCGGATGAGCCATTGTACGTCGCAGGAGAAAAAGAAGCTGCCGAGACCTTCAAAGCATCAGATTTTTTGGACTCAAAACTCAGTTTTTGAGCGTTTCGACATCATAAACCTCGCGAAACCCTGGCCTGCGCAGTGAATTTGAAGTTGTTGTTTGGCAAAAAGAGACACATATGATATAAGAGGTTTGTTGGTGGGAGGATCTCCAATCTGCAAGTCGAGCATTGTAAAGTTGTAGGTTCGAAGCCACGTTCGGGTTGTTAGTGATTTTGTAGATCTTTTAGTTTGTTGGCATGAACCGGCGAGGAAAAGGCATGGCGGTTTTCCAGCCAGCAAATCAAGGAAGAGCCAGGTCCTGGCTCAGATGATTGCCATGCGTACGCCGCCAACCAGCGTACGCAGCCGACCGCAGTCGACCGCAGGATTCGTAGGTGGTTCCCCACATGGGTCGTAAGAGTCAGGCTCGCAGGCTCCGGCGGTGCTCCGGGCTCTCCGGGCTTCGGAGGTTTGGCCGGCCAGGTGTAGGTGATCAACTGGTGGTTTCAAACGATTTCAACCTTTACTTTGAAAGATTGAACCCACTGATTGACACCAACCAGCCAAGAATTGGCCTCCATCCGTGCCTTCGGCAGTGCCTGAAGAGGCTGTATCCTCCACCGGTTCGCTGTCAAGCCAGGATGGAGCCTTCGGTGGCATTGCTGACCTTCTACAAAGGACGGATGCGTCCATCATGTTGACATGATGTCACATCATCCAAGCGAGGTGGAACTCGACCTGAACTAGGACCCTATAATTACTGGGATACTCAATTGGGATGGTCGGGTTCGTCAGCCTCTGGTGGATGTGCTGGCATGGGTTAAATTGAATTAACTCGTACCCTCCCATATTCATATGTGCCCCACTTTGCTGCTGGTACGTAGCTGGCATCTCGTTCCATGTGACTTGCTGCCTCCCTGGACAAGCAACATCGTCGGCGAGTTGGGGACGGACGTGGCGAGGAAGACTCACCCCAAACCTTAACCCCAAACCATACTTGCACTGGGAGATGAGTTGATGAACATGCAATTCCTCACATGACTGCAGGGGTTCCCTCACAGAACTCTCAGAAGGTATCGGAAGGTCTTCGTTTTTGAGACCATCAGAATCAGACGTTGCTTTGTGTGTGTCGCACCAATCATCAATGCCAGAAATCCTTCCCGGCATCCTACGTCGCCGCTGTGGCTTTTTTGAGCGCTTTGTGCTGAAAGAGACTGGCCCGCTTTTCCAGGTCGTGTTCTGCTTTTCGACATGTTGGATCATGCAAGGATCTCTTCGACATTCTTCTACAAACCCAGTATGAGGGGAACCACTCGGTGACGAATGACGTTTTGGGTGATCACTATTCATCATGTAGAAGATCCTTGGACAACACTGGACTGCTGATTGCCGGAACCAGCGTTGGCCATGCAGTGCCCCCGCTGCCCGAGTGAGGACACGGTGGGATGACCGGTGTCGCCCCAAACCGTAAAACCCTTTTCTTGCGTGGGGCGATGCAAGTCTTCTCCGAGATTCGAATGCCACAGGTCCTGGGGAGGTTGATCTTGAATTCAGAAGTCTTGGACTATTGTAGCCCATGTTCTTTCACGAACAGTTGGTCCCAATTTGATGTGGCCAGTGGCCTCAAGCCAGAAGGCACCTGGTCTTTTTGGGTTTTGGCCGTGTTGACCTCGCCGTTTTTGACATCGTGGTTTGCTAGCTTGGCCGATGGAAACAACCAGGTTGTTCTAAGCATGTTGAAGGTTCCGTCGTGTGGCGTCATGTTTTGGTCTTTGATGTCGGAACGAAGACAGAAGGCACTGACTGGATTAGCTACTATAGTATCAAAGGGCATCGCTACTAGGAGCAAGAAGCTACTAGTAGCTCCTGGCATTACTACTAGGAACAAGAAGCTACTAGTAACCACTGAACTTGACTTTTTCCGAAAAGAGCAGGGCACAGGGCATCATGCTGGCGGGATGGGTGCTACCTCCGCGAGTGTCAACCCTCACAGTCACTGCAATCCTTGCATCTATTGGGCCTCAGCTCGCGGCTGTTTCAAGGAGAACTGTGCCTGGGCGGAACGGCCCAATCCTTTCTCGAACCATGAGCTACCGCGCTACCGCGAAAGCGCGAAAGCGCGAGATGAGTCTTCGTGGCAAATCCACACCTTGAATCGGAGCTGCTCATGTATTGCATTATAAATATCAGTTTCCTCCAACTGAGAAGTACACTCCCTGAACTTGGCTTCGTGGAGTTCCACCACCCGTTTGGTATTCAGAACATGATCATCCAAGGTGACATGTTCCACGTACCCATGATCGTTCCACGTTCAGTGTAGCTATGCTTAAATGAGTCTTTCATATGGTAAGGCCAGGATTCATTGATTAAACAAAACAAAAACGAAATCAACATTCGAAAACGACTCGAACAAGTCAAATAAAGGTCAAACAACAAGCATTAATCTACAGTCGTTTAATCTCGAGCAATTCTCTGCAGTTGTTTTCGCACCCTGCCCGTGCCACGCCTGGCCCAGCGGCCGAGGCAGCTTTTGCCACGTTCACCATCCCTTGCTGGTGGACCATGGGCGTCCCAGGAGGGCCAAACGAGAGGCCATCAAGCTACAAATATTTGAGCATTTCCAAGTTCAGGACGAAGATGAGAGGCGCAGCATGGCGGAGCGCACGGGAAAACGGTCGGACAAAATGAACAACAAATTGGGTGGCACCCGGGAGAGGATAGCAGCAATGGCCTCCACCCTAATAGCATCAGTGCTGCTAGTAGTAATGGCCTCCACCCTAGCACCGTCCTTGCTACTAATAGTAGTGGCCACCATAATAGCGATGGCCTCCACCCTAATAGCGTCCTTGCTACTAGTAGTAGTGGCCTCCACCCTAGTAGCTTCTTGCTACTAGTAAGAATGGCCTCCACTCTAGAAGCAATGGCCTCCACCCTAGTAGCTTCATGCTACTAGCAATAATGGCTTCCACCCGAGAAGCAATGGCCTCCACCCTAGTAGCTTCTTGTTACTAGTAACCTCCACCCTAGAAGCGATGGTCTTCACCCTAGTAGCTTCTTGCTACTAGTAGTAATGGCATCCACCCTAGAAGCGATGGCCTCCACCCTATTAGCTTCTTGCTATTAGTAGTAATGGCCTCCACCCTAGTAGCTTCTTGCTACTAGTAGTAATGGCCTCCACCCTAGAAGCAAGGGCCTCCACCCTAGTAGCTTCTTGCTACTAGTAGTAATGGCCTCCACCCTAGTAGTTTCTTACTACCAGTAGTAGTGGCCTCCACCCTAGTAGCTTCTTGCTACTAGTAGTAATGGCCTCCATCCTAGTAGTTTCTTACTACCAGTAGTAGTGGCCTCCACCCTAGTAGCTTCTTGCTACTAGTAATAATGGCCTCCACCCTAGAAGCAATGGCCTCCACCCTAGTAGCTTCATGCTACTAGTACCTAGAAGCAATGGCCTCCACCCCAGTATCTTCTTGCTACTAGTAGTAATGGCATACAATTTTCAGAATCTACCTTTGACAACTCTGAGCTTTCTTGTGGCACTACTTGATTGGCTCATATGTGCAAAACATCCATCGGCAGGCAAAGGCTCTTGCAAGAGGAGGCTGCGCAGCATCCTTTTGCCTGGAACTTTGTCAAGGGTCTCTTGGACAACCCGGCCTTCAATGTCAGAAAAGTGGGTCAAGATCTTGTTTTTTCCTTGTAGGTCGCCTCTGAACCTGACGGGTGTTTACCAGACGGGAGTTTACCCAGCAGGAAGATGCGCTTACAAGCCGCAGTTTGATTTCAATGCAAGACCTACCTAGGCTCCTAGGCTCCTAGGCTCCTAGGCTCAGGTATTATATACAGGGCATTCTGCCCACGGTCTCTTGCTGTGAGTGGTTTCTTCCATCACCAACCACTCAGTGTGCATGGGAGAGCAGCAGAAAGTTCCCCAGCAGTGCTGTACAGGTTGTTAGTTTTGGGCCAGTGCCTGCAGACAGAGGTGTCTCAGAAGCAGGTTTAACAGCGACAAATGCGGTATGCACAGTTGGGTGATTTGAAAGGATCTGACTGAAACACCCTTAACCTTGCTTAGATTTAAAACGACCCCGCCGTCTTTAGATATGATTCAGTATTTTTTTTACGTGTAAATAATCGCTCTCCATTGAATCACCCAGAATAGGGCATTCACTGCCATTTTGTGCCAGTGAGTACAGTTCCCCAGCTGTAGAGAGTATGTACAGTGCTTTGCTGTAATTAGAGGCCTCCTTGAAGGCCCTCTAGAACCTCTCTGTTGGTAGAACAAAGCCGTGTTCTTCGGTTCTCGGATTCTTTCATGGATTGGGCATGCTCCTTAGACTTTGGGCCAATTGTTTGTTGACAAGCATTTTCCCGAACCTCATCGTCAGCCTGATGATTGAATAGTTTGACTTTGGCCGGTGGGGTTGCATCTTGCCCCGCGCGGTGTTGCTGATCTTGGCTGCTCGGCATGTGGAAGTTGGCTGCTCCGCCGCTTCAAACGCATTGGCCGATGGGATTTGGGCTAACATGGGCAGAAATTTTAATCAGCCGTTGGCCAGTCCCACGTTGAAGTTGAAGTTGGCTACAGAAATAGCTTGCTACATGACAAACAAATTGCAGTCGTACCAGATGGAAGCATCCAGTTGACCATTGAATGGTTTTGGTTTCACCTATCAGTCTGCATATATCAGATGGTGATGATGTGTTTATTCTTTTTAGAACACAGAACTCAAGATGTTTTTGTTTATCCTTCACGGGGTTTCCTGGAGGCGTGGGTATCAGTGGCATGGATTTGTTGAAGGATCGACGCAATGTGGCACTGACGCGACCTGCTGAAAAAAGATTGAACCTGTGAGTTGCTTCCATGTTCTTCTTCCATCCGACTCTGGATCCGATTATATACTGAGGAAGACTTGAGGAAGACCCGGGCCATCGGGAGGACCATCCGTTGTGGTGCGGCATGTCTCATCAACGATCCCACATTGACACATTCAGGATCACATATTCAGAAAGCCTTTGATCTTCCACGTCACAATGGACCAGTGATTCCAATTTGCCACTTTTATTACATATATAATGAATTATAATCATATACATATGTATATACATATAACAACTATTGTATTATAAATACTTAATTTATAATTGTATAATATGTATGATTCAGTGTATGCAATGTATGGGGGTTCAGAGGCCTCAGTTTTTTTGTCCAGGAACGATACTCACTATACCTGGGTGCCGAACTTGCCACCCCTGTCACATCCACGGCCTCTGGATGTGAGGAGCCAAAGCGCTCGGAACTGATGGTCTTGTGTTGATCATGTCTTGTAGTGTACAAACATATACATATACATAATATATGTATTATATATATACACAGTAATTATGTAGTATAATATATATATATATACATACGAGATGTTCCCACCATTCTAATCAATTTGATGATCGACGGAAACCTTCAACCTTCAGATTCTCGACCTCCAGGTCGCTGTGTTTCTTTCTCCAAAAGAATCCACAGCTGACACTTGAAGACGCGAGACGTGAAACATGCACACTTGGAGTTCAGCGTGTGACATCCAAGACACCGAGCGTGTGCTAAGCTTCCACGTGACGTCGGGGCACCGTCACCGAGCGTGTTTGGAGTCGTTTTCTGACCAGTGGCCTCACTGGCCCATAAC